CAGAAACTCTCCGATGCTAAAGTGGCACGGCGCCAGAGTAGGACGGAGGGGGGAGGGTGGAGGAGGGGGGAGGGGGGGGGGGGGGGAGGTGGCGGCAGATACATGACTCAGTGGCATAACTCACATTGGAGTATCATCAGGAGTACTGAGGCAGGACTCTTGTACTGCTTGACGTCGCGTTGCGCCATCACTTCGCGAGAAATCGTGACTCCTGACCCGTACTCTGCTTCTCCAAGAAACGAGTCATAAAAACAGTGTGCAGATGTCGTCAGAGGGATAGATGATTGCGATTCAAACAGCGCAATCATGCTTCGAGACGGGCTAGCAACAACACTTTCGCTGCATCGCAGCACTCCCATCGCACTCTCAAATAGCGGCCACTGTCAAAAGATCGATGACGACCGCTACAAAAGATTTCGCTTTGCAAATGGAAAAATAAAACAAAGTGACGATATTTAAGATGAATTTCCAAGAAAATCAAAACATTTGGGACGTAAGTAGAATGAGAAAAATTGACAACTTGTCACTCTACGTTGCGTTTGAGAGATTGAAGCAAATCTTGTCAAAAGGAAAAAAGTGTTTTCTGGTTGTTTGATTGCGACCAGCTGCTCATAGATCCTCTCCTCTTCGAGCCCAGTTTGACCTAACGATTAATCTTCAACTAAATTTCACTTACAGAGCTCTTTTGGGGGGAGGGACTTTAACTGAGCTGAATGGGGTTCACTACGGTGCACTGTCTTATAAAAAAAACATCTAGAATTTTTGATCGGACTTGAAAAAAACATGTGAACCCAACTAGATTTGAAAAATCCCATAATTTTCTGGAAAACTTACAATCTTCACCATCAGCACAGTCCTGTAGCATGTCCATGAGGGCCTGTCAAAATGTTTTTGAAGCTGCTTCACTTCTGCCACTTCTTTTGATGTATGCGCGGCTTTTCATATGCGTAGAGCACAAATTAGACATTAAAACTGGATAAAATTGCCGCCGGTCAATGCTGCATTACGCAAGCGATGCTTATGAGTTGCAGTCCGGATCCAGCGCGGAAGTACTATACCGTATTTCGTAGCCTTGTAGGCCGGACTTCGTTGTTGTTAGAAAGTAAAGGGGGTATAAAACATAACGGCATAACGACTGCTCAAACAAATACGCGCCCTAAAAACAAGTACTACACGAATGATCGTGTAGTAAATCGTGTTAATTCGTGTTAATGTTCATCGTGTCAATTTACGCAATCTGATTGCAAGGCTAAACAAACAAATGACTTGTATGCAGCATGTGACACCAAATTTGTACGTATAATGATCGTCTGAAAATCCTCAACATGCGAAGTATGGCGTACCGTCGAAAAGTCTCTAATCTGGTTCTCTGCTTCAAAATCTTACGTAGAGAAATAAGACTCAAAGCTAGTAAATACTGGATATTCATACCCACCAATCAACGCTCTGGATCGTTCAACTTGCATTATCCTCCATTCAATAAAAAGCAATTTTTGCTGACTTTCAACATGTTGTTTTTAGAGGTGCAAGATGGTTACAACATCTTCCGCCTCACATTCTACAATCTAGTAATGCCCAAATGTTCAAGAGAAAGTGGATAGATTACTACTGTATTGATACTGTTTACTTTTAACAAATGTTGGCTTCCTTTATCCTTATCATCTCATACTCTCTCATCTCTCTATTGTAATACATTTACTCGTGCGCACTTGTGCATTCTGTAAATAAATAAATAAATAAAGTATGTAGAATAATTCTAACGGAAGTGTGTAAGAAAAATTTTTTGAACTATAACGGCGTAAAAGCTTTTCCTATGAGTCTTACCTAGAACACCACTAAGGCCTCGGACAGAGTTCACGCGATATGATCGTCGCGATTTAATCGGCGCAATTTTCATTCATTTGAAATTTCGAGCAAAAGTATCACAACCGAAAAGAAGATCGGCATGCAATAAACTCGTAACAGTTGTCTTGTAGCGATTGAATCGCGTCATCAATTCGCGTGAACTCTGTTCAAGGCCTAAGACGACTGAGTTAGTTTGGGGCATATATTTCTGTGGATTCCCACACTTGTTGAATTTTTCTGCCGTGTCTATCTCGCCAAAATTCCTCAAGCAACAAGGCAGTTGGGTGCTTAGCAAGTGGAACCCGGGCAGCCGCCTGCTGCCGCAGCCAGCCGCCAGAGCTGCCGGCAAAGCCGCTGCAGATCACACAGTAGTTACGCTCGTCCTCTAAAACTCTTGCCGAGAGGTCCACTCGCACCTCGTCGTTCTGAGGTGCGATATCAGCCTCAGGAAAGCGTGATATCGTCGATACCTATATCATGCTGAAAGCATGAAAATCACGTTCTTTGAGAAATATGCAAACAAACAAAAGTAAACAGAGGAGGGTTTTTTTTTGGAAATATGATCACGAAATCGAATCATTTTAAACTCGAAGCAGAAGCTGAAAAGTTCAAAAAATCTCAAATTTCTAGAAATTTTTTTCTTGCTTTTACATCGAAGAACGAATAGGACAATTACAGGAAAATGTCATGGACATAACGGTAAGAAAACTATCAAAATGACCATTTCATAACCGTGATGTTGAGCGAGCTAAACAAGGCAAAGTATGTCAATCAAATTGAATAGGTCAATGATAAAAGATGAAAATATGTCACATCTGCCGATATAAAAGGGAACGTAGATCACCACGAAACATGTAAAATTTTAATCTACACAGTTCAGTTCTCCAGAGATTTTAACAAAATATAAAAATAATAATGAAAAACTCGAAATTCAGAACTTGCTGCAAAATAATACAAGTACAAAGTTGAAGGAATCACCTCTGATAACCCTTCAACAAAACCGTACAGATTCTGGAGTGTTCATGGAAAAGTGGATTTGATTTCTAGGAACTCTTAATTGGAAAATTAAGGATCCTTAGAACTATGCGTTAATAGACATTTATTGTATTGTACTTTGATTTCAAAATCTGTGCTGAAGACTTTCCGGTGTATCTTTGTATTCGACTGCGGTTCTCAATAAAATATGGTTTTTCTCTGCTGTTCAAAATGTTATAGCTTTTGAGGATATCCCGTTATCATTGACCTACTGAGTTTGAAGACCTACATTGCCTTATTTAGCTCGTTCAGTATCACTATGTATGAAGTAATCATTCTGACACGATTTTCTTACCGTTACATCCATGACATTTTCCTGTAAGTTCTCGTCCGTTGTTCAGCGTAAAAGCGAGAAAAAGATCTTTAGAAATTCAAGAATTTTTAAATTTTTCAGCTTCTGCTTCCTTTGAGTTTTTGAAGTGATCTGATTTTGCATCATTTTCCTTTAGAAAAACCCTCCTCTGTTTACCTTTTTTTATTTGCATGTTTATCAAAAACATGAATTTTCTGCTGTTTAGAATGATATAGATATCGAGAATATCACGCTTTTCTGAGGCTGATATCGCACCTCAGAACGACGAGGTGCGGACCTCCCACTTTTGGCAACATATAGTCCCCTACGCCCAACCGGAGTTTTACCTAGATGAGATCGACTGCGGCAGCTTTACTATGGACCATAGTGTTACTGCGGTGCCAAAATAATTGGTCGTGCGCTCATATATGCGTGTCATTGTGCACCCTGGAGATTTGTGCAAGTTATCGCAAAAGTTGGGAACGCTGAGAGAATCTCAACTTTACTTACGATTAGCGTATACGTACTCATCTTATATATAAAGCTGAATGTCTGTTTGTCTGTATGTCTGTCTGTCTGTCTGTCTGTATGTATGTATGTCTGTGTGTACGTATGTTCCGAATAGAAAATTCCATTTCTGAACCGATCCGGACCAAACTTGGCACACATACACTACGGGCCCCGGCGGGTGTCATAGACTACTTTTCGTCATCGATCGATATCGATTTTATCGATTTTTATCGATTTTTTTGCTGAGTTCACCTACGGGGCTGGGAGTTGGCACAGGGGGGTAATCGAGCATGGGGATTCCGAATACAATATTGGTTTTCAGGATTATCGATTACTTTTATCGATTTTATCGATTTTTTGCAAAGTTTGAGCTACGGGGCTGGGAGTTGGCACAGGGGGGTAATCGAGCATGGGGATTCCGAATACAATATTGGTTTTCAGGATTATCGATTACTTTTATCGATTTTATCGATTTTTTTGCAAAGTTTGAGCTACGGGGCTGGGAGTTCGCACAGGGGGGTAATCGAGCATGGGGATTCCGAATACAATATTGGTTTCCAGGATTATCGATTACTTTTATCGATTTTATCGATTTTTTTGCAAAGTTTGAGCTAGGGGGCTGGGAGTTGGCACAGGGGGGTAATCGAGCATGCTGATCATCCCCAAGGGGGGTGATCAGCATGCTCGAACACCCCTGTGCCAAATTCCAGCCCCCTAGCTCAAATTTTCAAAAAATCGATAAAATCGATAAAAGTAATGGACGATCTTGAAAACTAATATTGTATTCGTAATCTGCATGCTCGATTACCCTCTGTGCAAACTCCCAGCCCCGCAGGTCAAACTTTGCAAAAAAATCGATAAAATCGATAAAAGTAATGGACGATCCTGAAAACTAATATTGTATTCGGAATCCCCATGCTCACTTCCCCCCTGTGCCAACTCCTAGCCCTGTAGGTGAACTCTGCCAAAAAATCGATAAAATCAATAAAAGCAATCGGTAATTCTGAAAACTAATATTGTATTCGGAATCCCCATGCTCACTTCCCCCCTGTGCCAACTCCTAGCCCTGTAGGTGAACTCTGCCAAAAAATCGATAAAAATCGGTAAAATCGACATCGATCGATAACGAAAAGTGGACTGTGACACCCGCCGGGGCCCGAAGTGTATGTGTGCCAAGTTTGGTCCGGATACGGCGGAGCCGGGTAAGCCAGCTAGTGTTGAATAATTGTAGCTGCTCCGTCTTACTCAACGAATATCACGCAGTCATTTGAATGGACACGATCGCACACTTTCGAAGAGCTATCAATGTCACGAGAATATGCATGTTGTTAGGCTGATCTCTCCAGTTTATGTGCTGCTGTTTATAACAGAGTTCTGTCAATTTGCAGCCATAGTATATGCGTCATTAGTGCGCTTCATGCTTGGTGCATTCGTACTCAGGTTATTTTCACATACTTACAACCTTGTAAGTTGTTTCTCAAGTTGCGAGTATCCGCTTGATAAAGTGTGCCTATCTGCGGTGTTAAGGAAATTTGGCGAAATTTGCGCGAGAACAAACAGCTCCGCCTGCGGCGCCGGATACCTGCGCGCGCAAAAGGCCGGCGTTACTGCTGTGGCTGTTTGTTCGCGCGCAAATCTAACCGCATTTTTTGGCACCGCAGTTACAGTTTATTAAGCGGACCATCTACTCGATTGTATCTCCTCATGAAAATGATGGGAAAGACACCCTGCTTTAGTCAGTGGCTCTGAGCGTGTTCCTCACGCCAACTCTGCTCATTCTCCATCATCCGAATTTGGCTGCTAAATTCATCAAGAAGAAGGCCAGAACGATGCATGTCTCTCCAATGGACGCCAGTGCCACAACGGCCACCTATTTCGGCGAACTCAAGAAGATGTGGAGGTGACTTGTTCCATCTCGAACCCCAGCAGGCACCATGACAAATCGATTTGGAATGATATGTGTACATATGATTCAAATGTGCATCATCTCTCATTCGATCTGTCAAAGAAATTTTCATGAGATGAGATTTCAGAATTTCCACATTTGTTGAAGAAGATATATATGTCGTGACCTCTTTGTGAACATAGCATGAATCATATCATGACAAATCAGCACACCTTTGTTCAGCCGCTGTTGAACTAAAGAGCTTTTGCATTGTTTCCGTGTCGTCGACTTATTTGACCTTATAGCTCAAGCCAAACTAAGTCGCGATGTCATATGCCCTTTTAGGTTAAATTAGGCAGCACATCAATTTGTGCCATTGTATGTGCCAGGTGCAGCCTCAACCCCCACTTGGAGCTTTTGTAAAGGATTACGTTCCTTGTTTCCGTTCCTGAGTATATTGTTACCAAAATAATTCAATTTTGATAATTAGCTTCAAAACAGCGACTTCCGGGAAGCTGCTAATTTTTTATCTCGGCTATGCCTTGAGCAGAAATCTAATTGACGCATAATTCTGACCCTAATCTTTTCGAAAGGAGAGTTCTTATGCTTAACTTTTTTTTAAAAAGTACTTTTTTGGCATATGACAACGATAATAGCTGATCAGCAAAAATACGCAGTATGTGGCTTTTACCTTTCGTCAAAATCAACGTCTACGGAAATCGAAAATTATTTTTAATCTTAATTACATGGCTTACCCTTTCCAACTAAGAAATTTGTGGGATTATTGTCTAGAAGTAGTCACAATTTTCAATTTTTTTTGACTTGTTGATTTTAAATTGAATTAATTCCCTGATTTGTATGATAAGATAAAAACTTGATATACATTGCAAGAAGCATACTTTTCAAAAATTTGTTAGTATCTTAGGCAAATGATTTTTGTCTGGTGCATCGAATTATGACCTAATGTAACGGTTTCTTATTGCTACAATAAAGTATCAGTTATGCTGATAATACTTCCATTATTGTTGAGCGCTAACAGTGCGCGTATCTTCACCGTCGTAAACCCTCTGCCTCATGCACTCCGGCTAATAAAGCCACATGCGAGTCTCTAGGTTTTGCGCCTTCGTCCGACAGTAGCCTTCGAACAAAAGTCACTGATGCATTCAATGCATGAAATTCTCGGATCTCAGAGATGCGAGTGGAAGTTTTCGCATATAGCCAACTCAGTGCAAATTGTGGAAGCTGAAATCGCACAGTGATGCGAATTATCACAGCGCGTTCCCTCCGCTGCTGAATGAAATATATCTATAGGAAAATATCTAGTGAGAAGGGTAATAATGCCAGGAAACGTAAGGTTTCCTTCACAAAAAAAAATCCACTTAGTCATTGCATCGAGCGAATTCTGAGACCCAAAAAGTTTGTTTTCTTCAAACTGCGATGATTTGTTATGTAAAACCAAATTTATAGCAAAATGCTGTGGAAGAAGGTCATGTGCAATATCCGCTTGTTTGCGGCTTTTCCCATCCATTATCTTTCGGGCATGTTCGATGGCACCGTCCACCCAAATCTGAGGTTGGTGAGATTTTTAAGCGGTACATTACGAGGATTATAATTGATTGCCCAAGTTTTACTGCAAGAGGTGCATTATAAGTTGAGAAAATCGAACAAAAAGATAGAGCTGCTGGGGTAACCACGCCCATCAATTTGGGTGGTCTGCGCGTAATGAGCCCGTTAACGACTAAAATGTTTCTTGCAAAGAAAAGCAGATTCTCGACATGTTCAGTCGCTACTGGGACAGTTTCGGGCTCGTTATCTCCAGACCACCCAGGGTGATGGGCGTGGCGACCTCGGCAGTGTCCATCTTCAGGAGCGATTTTTTCGCTTCGGGATGCATCTTTTGCAGCGGGACGTCGGCAATCACTTAGTAAGGAGGCTCGCCATCGTACCACATCAAACTCACACCGACCTCAGATTTGGGTGGGCAATGCCTTCAAATTGTCTCAAACTTCCCAGAGTTTTCAATTCACACGATGATGCCCAGAACTCGACTCTCCCACTCACCATGCGTAGTATGCAAATGTGTCCGGTCCACGACGATGGCTTATCCTACAGCAGCGCCATGTGCGTATGTGTGTGTGTGGCTTCGTCAGCGGATCATCGTCGGTTTTTGCATGACTTCTACTGTATACATTACGTATTGTAGTAGTCATCACTGGTAGTAGAACTACTTTTATCTCACGTGATGTGGCTTTTTCACTCACAATCTGCTACAGTTTGGGAATGTTTGAGTAGTAGCAGATTCATGCTTCGTTTTCTTTTTCTGCATAAGATTCTTGATGCTGCAAAATGTCGAAGTATTCATAAAAACATCGCACGCGATATATTCACATTCTGTTTATTGTTGTTGCTTCGACCAATCCCTAACGATCAGATAGACACGTTCGCTTCTAATTCTTCGCATGTCTGACATCTTGAGAGATTTCTAGAGTTACAAATGCTCCCCCTAACGCTTAGTCGCATCTCAATCACTGTCTTCAACCTCTTTAACATAATAGCAGTCATTAGGTTGGTCCATAAGTACTGCATAGAAATTTTTCTCAAAAAGTCTTCAGATATACATTATATCTTTTTGTTATGAACGATAAATGGTGCACTTTATTACGTAAAAAAGATTTTTGAGGTAAAAGAGCATACAAAAGTTGAAAATCGTGACATTTCGTGGGGAAACCGAACATCAAGAATTGAACTTAGGTGGAAAAAATAGTGAAAAAGCAAGTGGAAAAGTGAGCCCAATTTCATTAGACTTTTCGGACAATTTTAGCATTTGAAAATTGCAAATATACAATTTAACTTTCTCCCATTATCATGTTGTATATCCCTGCACGTAATGTTACCTGCTTCAAGCTCAGCTAAAAGGTGTGTGCTTTTTGCAAAATGTTGTTGATTGTTACGATTTTTGAGAAATTTTGGTGCAAGACATATGGACCATCCGAAGACCATAATCTGTTGTCTTAAATGCATGTCATTAGCTATGTATTAGGTTGACTAATAAATAAGTTCGGTCGCTTTTGCAGCTCTTACAAATGTTGCAGACAAATTTTTGTCCAATGTTTGGTACCCTGGAAAGAGCACTTCAATGGATATTAGAGTATATATTCTGTTTAAGTAGAACTTGTCTTCCAAGGAAAAAAAACCCTCAAAAAAGTGAGAAAGCGCAATTTTCTTATGATGCCTAAATATGGAAAATTTGGTTTATTTGGTGCAACATTTCCAAAGTGGCTGATCACAATTTGTTTTGTTATTCACTAAATAGAAAAACTACTCTGTATCTAAATACCAAACTGCTGCTCTTTACATTCATTAAAGCACGAAAAAGAAGCTTAGGAAGTCAAACAATTGAGCTTTCGGAAATTTCGCCATGTTGAGGCATAACTATCTTTACTGATTATAGAAAATTCTGAGTATTTGATATGTGATAGAGGAAGCTTTGAGCTACTTTCTCACAAAGATTCATAGGTAGTAAACAACAAGAAATTTTTTTGTGAAGATTTGTATGCCAAAACGAACTTATTTTTTGGCCAATTCAATAGAATAAAGTATAATGAACCTATGGCGGAAGAGTTTGCAAACCACATAATTTTCTTGTGAAGCACCTCGCATTCATTCTTGCGTGGATTGTTTGAGAAAGTGTCTTGATTGTTTTCAATTGGCCGAACTGTCAAAAAACCGTACTAACCTACATCCTTGAGTCCTAACTCAAGCAAATCTTCACCTAGAATCTCCAATGTACACAATTATTCATGGCACCAAAAATTTGAATACAGGGCTCGGCACAGTTGGCTTATAAGCAAGCTGGATATCGTTTTTAGGACAAAAAGGAAGCGGATTTCTTGTGGCAGAGAAATGCGACATTTTTTCAGTCGACGTTTCGTTTTTGAGGGTTTTTTTATGTTTATGACTCAGGATCAAAGGAGACTTCGTAAAATTCTGCGAGTCAAGGGGACTTTTTTTGCATTTTCAGAAAGCCACCTCATGCGAGCCCTGGCTGGATACTATGAACTTTCTTCCGCCATTTGGGTGCGGTAGTCACAAAAATGGAACATTTGTATCGGTATTATAAGATCGGTACTTTTGTAAACATTTACTTTAAAGGTAAAACGACAAGTAGCCATTCTGTAAAATTCCAGAGAACGAAAAACTAGTTCTATATATTATTGGAGCATAAAAAAGACAACTTGTGTACGCTTGGGTGAAATCGCGACCTGTCCGAACATTCCGTGAATAGCATAGCTAGTTGTTGTTCTATCCAAGGTTTTCCTACACTATGAAAGCATAATTTGTCCTTGTGAGAAACGACAGCTTCTCTCTTTTCTTCTTATTAACATTTAATTTTTGAGGGACTAAGTTTCAAAAGTTTCAGTTCAGAAAAATACGAAGCATAGCGGGACGCAGCCCTTGCTACAAGTTTCCGAGAAAACCTCGTTTAGAAAATCAACAAGCCGAAATTGTATAGAACTTATAAGAACAAACTTCTAGTTAGTAAAAGTAGCAGTATAATCAAGTACTAATATACCTAGCCAACTTCATAATCTTTGATCCACAATTGACTAAGCTCTGTATGAACATCATACATTAGCGGAAGCATTACATACCATCATGGCAGGGGTGTAATCAGGATTTTCCTCTCAAGGAAGTGGGGGGGGGGGGGGACAAAAGTTTGCACGACGTTAACCATGCACTCCGAAAAACTTTTTGGGATGTTTCCCAAAATTTTTGCGAGTTGGCGGCAGCCATGAAAAATTTTTGCGGGGCTAATTTTTTTTCAAGTTATAGCACGCAAAGACTGCGGACATGTCGGCGTCTCCATTATCGAGCGCTCTTTCGTTCCCCTTACCGTCCGCTGTCTCTCCTTTGCACAAACTATCTTCGTCTGACGTAGCGGCGCCCAGTCTTTGCGTGTCATGAATCGACGATATGTTAGTCATTTACAAGTGAAAGCAAGTCACTTGCTGAATTTTATAGCTCATATAAGTAACTTTCGAAGTCCCCCCTCCCCCCACACTCCTCTGAGTACGTCACGACATCATGGTGATAATCAGTCAGTGATCATCACAATCATTTACATAATTTCCAGATCCTAAATATCAGAAAAAAAAAATCACCGCCCAAAGAGATACTAAACGATTTTTTTCAGTTGAAAGAAGATAATCTCACAACGATCTTTTCAACCCACTTTCACGCAAAAAAGCTGGGGAGGGGGGGGAGTGTGGAACAACTTTTTTTATTTCTATGCGTAAAAAATTTAGCTGTAGCATTTATGTACACTATCAAGTATTTTCTATTAACGATCGATTGGAAGTCTTGCAAGAATTTTTTTTTTGCAAAAATCCATCTAGGTGATAAAAGAAACTTTTCCATTTTGGCTCCAAGTGAGTGATTGGAACCTATTAGGAAATTTGGTAGTCATCATGTAGAGTTTGCTTTACTCTATTGAATGAAAGCCCAAGTCTGCTAGGAAAACAAAAATGCTTGATTTATCTTGGAAAAACGTCTACTTTTGGGGCAACCTAATAGTTTAAGAAAACACTCGGCACTTCAACAATTAATTCTTTTTTGGGTAAGACTCTACACATGGATTTTACATGTACACGAAATTCACATTGCTGTATCTAAATGAGGACAATTGCACAACTGCTGAACTGCTATACAAACGCTTTATTTACATAACCTAACTAGCTGTGAATTTGGTTTACTAACCCAATTAACCATGCAGATGTCATCATTGCCTTGCACATTGCAAAGGACAAAGTATTCAACGGGCAGATTGCCAATATTGCCAGTTCGACGGGCGCATTCATCGGAAAACATCATATTCATACAGATGCCAAACGAACAAAATGGGTATTGCGGACCGCAGACGAGCACGACGTCAGCAAATGCGGGCAGTCGACGCAGTTCCAAAGATGGCAGTGTAAGCAAATCTTCCTCAGTCTCTTCTGCTGTAATTGTGTATAAACGCCCATTTTTGACCCCATTTGACGTGCGGGGCGCGATGTAAGCGCAATCTTTTCGCGATCCGGTGCTTACGCGAGCGCTTCGCAAGCGCTTCGTGAGCGATTCCGCGCTGATGATGGCCTTCCAGATGCGCTATCAAAGACGCCCGGGTGAACACCTGATGCGCGGACCCTATGCTGGACCTATTCCCCGGGTCCGCACCAAACAAATGGATCAGGCCGGTATTGCGGATCAGTACGACGACTGCTCCCCCACTGTGGTGAGTTTCCATTGAAAAAAAAAACGTAAAGTTCATTCTGAGACTATGAGACTCAAAACGCTTCGCATACGTCATATCAACGCGTTGATACCTGTGCTCGGCCTCATTTCGAATAATTTAGCCCTAGGAATACAGAAAGAACAAGTTCAGTTTTCTTAATCGAAGTGTGCACAGCGTTTAATCTCTTAGTCTCATAATGTATCTCGGTCATTTATAGTATCTGAGTTTGCACATTATGCGCGCGAACCGACGACATTCGCACTAGAACTTTTCGGTAAAGTATTTTCTGGCTTAAAAATCTACGTTTACCAATAAATACATACTCCGTTCGAATGATAAAAGGCAAGAAAACAAGAGAAATCACCGGAGCAGGTTCTGATCCTACAAGTCGTCAAGTAGCGCGCATGGTGTGCAATACACACATTGAATTATGAGTCACTCAGTAATGTTATGGGTAATCTCAAAACTCAAATAAAAATTTGTTTTCAGCGACAAAAACGAGGTATCACACGACTCGATACATTTCGAGAAAATGCGATCGAAACGGTAATTCACGAACAATATCGATCGCTTACCATAAATTTCTTTGTTTCCGATATATGACGAATTCCGCTTCCTTGACGAGCCGGAAACTCCGTCTCCGTCTTCTAGTGCTCATGCAATCATCAATGCTCATGCTGCACCAGCAGAGTCTGTGATTAAGTAAGTTTATTAGAGTCTGTTGAATATCGTATAAAATCAATATCAATCAATAAAATTCTGTAACAGCAGTAAACGTCGTCTAACGCCATCATTAGTTGCCTATTGTCTATTGCCACTTATACAATTGACAATATCGATTGGTCTGATATTGCTCGCTGTGTTACGATTACGGAAGTTATTTCAGGTATTCTTTGTATTTTATAGAACGAGAACTGGTCCTCATAGTTCTGTATGAGTTTCAAATCTGAAGCACTTTGCTTGTTTAACTATGTAAACGCGTGTAAACTAGTGTAAACGTTTTGAATTGCTTGACAAGTATGATCAAGTCAACAACATGACACAAAGACCAGTTTTCGTTTTTTAGAAATATTATGTTTGATTTGAAGTTCAGCGACTGTGTATTCAGGAACCCCTCAACTCCAATGCACTAATCGATTTCGAAAAGCCTGAAGGTTCTCTTCCACCAAATGAAGAAAGTACGAAGAAATGCACTTTTTCCGTAAACCTCTAATTTTCAAATCCGTGCCTAGGCTCGCGTACGCTGAAAATCCGCTCCGCATTATCCGTACTGATCCCGGCCGCGTTTCAATGTGTCGCTGCCATAGCCGGTTTTTGGCCGCTTACTCGAAATCGTAAATATTACCAGGTAAACATTGAATTCACATATAATACCTGATATAGAGTAATTTTAGCTGATTCATATCACTTTCTCCTCATTGGCCGTATTGCAATGGTTACCAAGTGTCAATGCTGTCGCTGTGGAAATCAATGAAAATTTTGTGCAAATGCACGAATGGTATCAGGAGTAGGTTTTTTTCAGGTCTGAAACAAGAAGGAAAAACTTGATTATACCCTATATGTCAAAGATCTGGAAAAAAATTATATTTGACTGAAACTTTTTTCAGGTCGATGCGTAAATCTTGCATCAAAATTTTTTAAAATTATAATCTTCTCTCCATGAGATTTTTTACTTTGGAGTTTAGATTGAATGCTTGCACTTTCCAGAATTACTTGAAACAAATAGTATTATAGTCACATCGCAATGGTACAGGCTGATGAAGAGAAACACTCAAAAAACGGTTTTTTTTTAAATTTTCATCGCAGAAATTGCTGAAACACTCACTAAATTCTCATTCCAATTTTACTCCTGGTTTTATGATATCTAATATCCTTTTTGATCGGACGTTTCTAGAATAGTTATGATTCTCTCATTTTTCATGCAATTTTTTGCTTACGAAGAAATCTCTAATACTTTTGATAAGGTACAAATTTTGATAGTTGTCACAAAAGTTAGAGATATGCTTGAAAAAATCATTTGAATATTTTTGAATTTTTATATTTTCTTGTTTATATTTTTATATTTCTATTTTCTGGCAAATTTATTTATTGATCTACCATACAAATTTCAACGTATTCATTCAAATGATATCGTTGTCTGCATAAGATAATCGAATTCTGTGCAAGTACTTGTGGCATTTATATCAGAAAAGCGCCAATAAGGAAAACGAACGAATACGCAAAATAAAATTTGGACCGTTCTTACTTGTTCTTTCGTTACGACGGATTCATGAAAGACTAGGAAGGGGTTTTCAATTTTTTTTTCTTCCCTTCGTTAGGATTGTTTCCAAATTTTATTTCCCTCCTAATAGGAAATGACAACTTTTTACGGCCTTAGTCATTTATATGTACGCGTGACTGGTTATATTTGCAAATGCACTTCGTCGTGTGTTGTGTGTAAGGGGGAGATGTCAAAGACGGACATACGCTCGTAACCAGTTTTCTACCCGGGCTACTCGCGACAAATCCTCCGAATAAATCGTCGATGAATAAGCGTTGAATGACGACAAATGAGGGGAGAAGGTAGAGATTATTACTGCCCGTCACGGTACTCACGGGTAGTAGAGGGAAAATAGAAAAAACTTCCCGCAAAAATTTGACTCTCACTCAACGGTTTACTTAGAATTAGCGGCAGATGTAGTAGCTTCAGCTTCAACATCTGCCATAAAATCATTTTCAAGCCCTTTGGGAAAATTTGTAGGGTGCCGCGATATTTTCGGACTATTAAAAAATTCAAACGTTGCTGCAGCCTCGCTCTGGAAAAGGAGGTAATCTTGAATTCTAAATACAAGTAAAGGCAAGTCTCTTGCGCAATTTTATAGCCCAAGGTCTTTTTCAAAAATTTAGCTACCAGTTTTCGGGAGGCGAGGAGGGAGGAGGAGGGAGAGGGGTCCGCAACTAATATAAAACCGATTTTAGAGTTATTATTAAGCCATTGTCCAAACAACAGCTCGCATGGCTTATTCCCAGGCCGCACTCCTTACAAGTAAGGCGCGCAGATTGGTCCGGGTAGAGTACGGTCCGACCAAAATCCCAGAACTAGGTTTTTCGGTTAGATGATCCATATGAGCTGCTTGGGCGATTGAGGTCCCGATCAGTACACCTGCGGCAACGGTTTTCAAGTAGGAAGCCACAGAAGAAATTTTTGGCACACTTTTCAGTTTTTGCGGGTTTTAACCTAAAATTTGGAAAAAAGGAATGTGGAGGAATAATTATTTAAAAGTGAAAAAATGGATATGGCGGGGAAGTTTTTCTCAGAGCTGATTTGAATTGGAAAAGAAGGGGGACGTAGCAGGACAAGATCTTTATTTTTGTCTCTAGAATTTTGAAGAAAGGGGAAGTGAAGGAACAAATGTTTTGAGGCTATTGTATATCGTTAGATATTTTTGAAGATTATTTCAATTATTTTCTCAAGTAAAATAACATTCTGCCATCAAGGAACAATTTCTGGAAACAACAAGAATTTTTTCCCAATTCAGGTCATCTTATCTGATCAACGTGATATTATTGTGTGCCGCTGCATTCGGTGCCATAATCCTTCCATCTATTACATTATGTGTCGCTGCAACCCAACTTCTACCGTATTCCCGGCAGTTAAAGGTCTATCTACATATTTTTCGCCCCAGAAAACTCGAGAAAATTCTCCTAATTCAGGGCGATATCGTGGGTGTGTGCCTAGCCTTGGGCACAGCACTGATTGCCGCTACCGTATGTTGTTTTTCCGGTTATGCGACTTCGCGATCACTCACTAACGCCATTCAGTGGTACTAATCCTTTTTCATTTACTACTCTTTTTTTTCTGATTCCTCTTTTCACAGGAAACCCTCGGCAGTTGTGGCTAACCAGTCCGCTTTATATGCTTTCGCCCTGAAGGAGGTGATCATTGCTGGTTATGTGATGCTATCGTCTGTGTTCTTCTTTATCGCCGCAATCCAACGAAATCAGAATGTGGTGATTGCTTCGGCAATTGTACAAATGTAATCTTTCGTATTTCCACCTCGAACAGTTTTTTGACAGTTCTTTATTTTCAGAATATGTGTGTTGGCTCTCTGCCAATTATTCTCACCGTCGCGTATGACGGCGGTACTAATCAACTCACGCGTACTTTCCATTGATAATAGCACATATCCGGTAGCACAAGTAAAGTAAGTCCTCAAAAATCATTGGTAAAGATAACCAAAGGCGTATAACGCCAGTGCCTGCGTTGGGATTCGCCACGCAGCGCACTACATAGCGTGCATGAATCATCATAGCACCGACTCGGCAGCCGCGTTTAATCACGCTCGCAGGCGTTCAGCCTACAGCGATATGGGCGATTTCAAGCAGTCGACTTTACAGACTGTGTCAACCGCGTACTTCCTTTTCCATCCGCGCGATCGCGCCAGAAGAATAAAAGTCTCTAAATTATCACTGCTAAGCAGAGATTGGTTAGCCTATCGCACTGATATGTTGCCAACATCTTCGAAGATATTGCTAGTCCATAATTTTTCCCCATATTTGCGCATTCAAGATGACTTTTTCGAGCGATGCTAAAGTCGCATGCAATGGCGATGTCCCGCAAAATATTGCCGTACTTCTTACTCGGGGTGAACTTTCGCAGCACTCTTGACAGGTGCCTTTAAATATCTTAGAAATCTTTTTTCGTGATCTCATACTGATATTTGCAAAATAGCGTTTTTCTTAAATTTGAACAGCGCTTAGAAAGCACGATTTGAACGTAATACATCAGAAGAAAAACTTTGACCACCATGGTTCGTATTTCCACATCCACTTCTTTGCAATCAGTGAAACTCTGCGGCTGCGCTCAAAATGTGTGGGTCATCGGTGAAAAAACTGCCAAGATATTTGAAACTAAAGTTTGCATCAAAGCGTGCCTACTCTAGAAAGAGCGTTAAGTACACAGCATATGTAATGATAATGCTATTGGAGGTTCTTTTTGGAGGATCTTCAACGATAGGAGATTTTCAAGACAGAAGTAATCTTCGCGATGACCACTCTCACAAAATTTCACTTTTTTCTCTTAGCAAAAAATTGTATTGCATACAATTTTTCGATGCTTAAATCTAAACTCAAAGCCATTTCAAACAAATGCGTCTGGAGAAGGATCATGTGCAAAAAAGTCGTATTTGTTCATAACGCAGATTTTTTGATCAATGTTTTTAGTCATCTCTTTATCAAAATCGGAGATCATCTTCTACTACTGGATGTCAACCTATATTTCATCCCAGCTGCTTTTGCAGTCGAGCACTTCATCGAATATTGTCGACAGTAGAGCCTTAACTAAACCATTATTACATTTGAATATCTGACCGTAAGAACTGAGCTAATTCTGCACAAGATGATAAATTATTGGGTTGTCTCAAAAGTAAACTCCTTTTTGAATAATTTGAGCTGTTTTTGTTCTCCTAGTATTTTTAGGATGTCATTCGATAGAACAGATCAAGTTCTACAAAATGACCGCCAAAGGTCCGCCTAAGTCGCCTTCCAGGTAAAGCTTGAAGCCAAAATCGAAAAAAACTTTTTTCACCTGTAAATTGGATTTTTGCGAAGAAAAACCCTACGATCTCCAACTCGGTCATCATACAGTAAGCACATATTAATACTCAAATATGCCTTTACTGGATTATCGCGCACAGAGAGCAAGAAAAATAAGATAGTCCAAGAAGGCAAACTCCGCCCCCAGCCCCTCTCACATATGCCATTGTATATCACAAGCCTTACTAAGGCCCGTATGCACGTACATCCCCGCGGGGAGGGGAGGGGATCTGAGAGGGGAAGCGTCATATCTCGCTAGTCTATATACTTTTCTTCTTCTTTCTCTGTCTTGCTTTTGAAGGTTCTCATACACTGATACTTGCGCATAATGGATGCCAGGTTACTGCCAAATAAGATTAGATACTCACTATTTCGTCTGATCCCCTGGGGATCCCCATGGGATCACCTCACATTTTCAAAGTCATTTATCTTCCTGAAAACTCAATGAAAATGCTCTAAAATTGTACTGAGGATATACTATAGCACTGCAAAACATGTTTATGGTAGGAACGAGTGAAATCTCAAAATATCAAAATCTTCGATGAACCGCTGCTCGCGAGCCAGGGATTATCAAAAAAATCAAAATCTTCAGATTCCATTTCTTCTGTCGAAAACATGCACAGCAGTATCGTAGTATATCTTTAGTACAACTTTGCAGCGTTTTCATTGATTTTTCAGGAAGATAAATGACTTTGAAAATGTGAGTGATCCCCTGGGGATCCCCAGGGGATCAGAAGGACTAGTGAATATCTAATCTTGTATGGCAGTAACCTGGCATCAATTATGCGCAGGTATCAGTGTATGAGAAGCTTCATAAACAAGATAGAGAAAGGAGGAGAAAGATATGTAGACTAGCGAGATATGACGCTTCCCCTCTCAAATCCCCTCCCCTCCCCGCGGGGATGTACGTGCATACGGGCCTAAGTATAAACTTAAAATTTCACCCCTGCGTGGCTCCTATAATCGAGAAATACCAAGTTTTACACAGAAAAAACCCCGAAAAAAGTGGCATCTTGGCATTTTGGGACCACCTTTGTTTCTCAGTTTTGAGACCCGAAAAAAATCCACTGAATGCATTTTTGGGTACTACTATGTGTCTGCTATATAAAGACCAAGTTGGAAGTCCGTAGAATTGAAAGGAGATCCGATTTTTAGTGTAGCTGGAAAATTTTGATTTTTGGCTCCAAATTTTACCTGGGTTGTGAATTTAGTGGACCCTTGGTAATCTTTTTTAAAGCTTGCTCCGCTCTACCGAATGGTACCCTGAATCTGTCAAAAAAAAAACAGCTCAAGTTATTTGGAAATGAAACTTATTTTTGGGAAAACCTAATAACTTACTTTTTAGACGACTAGTTGACTACACGGAATTGCCCGGACTGAGCGCCCGCACGCGTGTCTCTTGCGCGCTAACATTGGCTACCGCGCATGAGTCATCATAGCGCCCGTACTCGGCAGACGCGTTGCACGCACGCTCGCGTGCGCTCAGCCTAGAGAAACCCGGGCGATTTCGTGCAGGCGACTTCACCACATTTTCGAAAGAAGGTTTGCAACTGTAGCAAAATGCGAATTTCTTGTTCAAAAAAAACAACTTGTACTCTATTCACAAACGACGAAAAATTAGCTAACAGCAAGATCAATCGATGAATCCAAATTGTTCAACAGCGCAGTATCGTCTAAGAATGGATTGGAGTTTTATGAATATTCAATGAACCGAACAGATCGGGATAAAATTAGGTAATATTTGAAAAATGCTTTGTTTAGCTAAAGGTAAGATTACAAAGGCTATTAGAAAGCAGGGTTTTGATAGTGGTTTTGTCCAACAACGCCTATTGACATGAAAACAATATTTAAAGATGAAATCAGAACGGCCGATTTTAAAGATGAGATCAGAACGGCCGATATTTCGAATAAGCAACAAAGCCACCAAATTCTGGCAGTTACAAAAATTGCCTGGCAAAGTTTGCTCATTTGGTTTTGCGACGTTTAAACTCTGTTGCTCCTTGTAGGCTTTCGACCGTTCCGGTGCTCATAAACCCAAAACGGTCAACATGGCGCCCTTCGTGGTGACGCCATCGTCGCACATAGTCACATGTTCACACTTGAAGGGGGGGGGGCTGCGAATTATGATAGTAGATGATTTATTAATAATTTCTTTTATTTCAGTGTTGTGCTTCTCTACGCCTTCATCATTGCACTCTTGTTGATGATCTCTATACAATTTATCGTCACTGTAATCTCATTACGAAGCCATTCGTTGAGCACTGGTTCTGCTCCTACTTTGGAATATCCTCAGCAAAGAACGAGTTTTTGAGGAAATATATAAATGAATTTTTTTCCGCAGAAATCTCTCTTTGTTGTATATGACATGTCTATAGTCGAAACAGGTTCATGAAACAATGCAGCTTTTACAGAGAGGTAAATGTCAAAGAGTTTTCAACTCATTGTCGATATAAAGACCGTTGTTACGGGTTGTTTAAGAATTTCATATTTTCTAGAGATAACAGGATCCGTACAGTTGACCTCCGACCCAGCTTCTATTCACATGAATGTTCCTATAAATTTTATATATTTTTGCTTTTAAAACAACGGATTGCGAGAAGCTTCGAATCTTTTGTAATCTACATCTGATAAAATCACTAGAAGTACTATAAAACCATGAAAAGGAATAAAACGATCCAACGACACAGCACCTGTACACAAGAAGAATAAGAATCGACTATCCAAGAGTTGTGATATTTAAAACACTAAACTTCAGATCAAGAGGTTTTCGTGCAATAGGCACTTAGGAGTTATTATGCAGATTAACAAGTCCAATTATTATCATATGAAAAAATGCACATTACATTATGCGTAAGACCAGATTTTCCGAACAAGTATAGATACAAGGTAAAAACCAAAGAGATACATATGAATATACTAGAAAACAAAAATGTTCGTAGTTAAACAGTATAAAGGAGTTAAGTATAAGTAAAAATAGCCGGGTAAAATCACTAGATAACAACTTTTTACATTTTAAACAATCTTGTGCTCATCCTCTGGTTGGTGCTCGTATTCATAATCCGTGTGAACAAATGCTCTTTCAACCTAAATTCAATTTATTTTTCCCGTTCGAAGGAAAGCTGTGAATCACCTCAGGTAGACTTTCGATGTTGATTTGCAGTGTTTCGCTTATATCATGAGCAACTTTCAATGGCATATTCTTGTCTAACACGATATGAACCTAAAAGTAATGAAATGACCATAACCTTGAAACCTCGCTTTAGATACCTACCTCAACCAAAAATTTTGTCCCGAAGTGGTAAACATATACTGTATCTAAGTGAGATATCCTTGGATCATGATCTATACATACCTGCAGTAGAAAAGTGCAAGGAGTACAATGTGGAAGGATGATGTGCGTACCTTAATTATCCTATTGATGAATTCCGGTTTTGCTGATCTGCCGCTGAGTTTTGATAGATGTTCCCATCCAGTGCTCACCCATGTATACAAAATATATATAGACACTAGAATTGCACCGATGGGGTCAAGATAATAACAGAATCTAAAAGTCATAAGTATGATCAATCAAGAATTTGAAAAAACAAGCGCTTTTACAAAGTGCCCAGCCATGCACATGTAAGTGCTACCGTATTCGACAAACAGTCATTACGATGATCCATAGCCAAAACTTCTATTGAGGGGTCATGTTTATACCTAAAAGTAAGCCGCGTTCGCTTGAAGTTAAAGCTGACTCTCTCTTTAAAGGAAAAGATTATTAGGGAAAATAAAGCTACAATTTTGAAATCTTACTTTTGACAGATCATAAATAACGTGAACTTTACCACAACGGTAGCGACCATAATGCAAACTGTAGTTATTGAAACGTCAAGCTGAGGTTGTTCACCAACACCTGTAAAGTATTTTTGCTGGAGATCCACATAGTTGCATTCATAAGTGAAAACTCAAAGATTAGTAATCATGGAAAAGTTCATAGATCAAAACTGTACCATGAACGTGAAACTGGTAAGCAGCATGAATCCGTTGTATCGCTCCAAAAATCAGCTGTACACTAGCAACACCCATGACAACACTGATGACAATCTGAAGACAGGCGGCTCTACACAAACGAATTTCCAGTGTATGGTAAATGAATTGTACCAAAGACAGTGGCTCTAGCCTCGTTCGTCCTCTTGGGTAAAGGTACGGATCCCTCTTCTTTATCATTCGGGTAGAGATCGATATCACAAGTCCTGAAGTTATGTCAACGCACGAATCTACGAGCGATGAGAGAATTGACAATGACCCGGATAGATATGATGCGACAGCCTAAATCATTGGTAAGGACTAATCCCACCGGAAAGAGACGTCAAAACCAAAAAAGAATACCTTCGCCAGCATCAATGTAACATTCACCACCAAAGTAGCATGCGCTAATCGTACAGCTGCCTTGCCTGAAGCTTTAGCTGCGTCCTGGGCCGCCTCATGCTTTGCCCTGAAACAAAAAAGACGCAAATAATTAGAGATTCTCGCATAATAAGGACCCACAACAGTGACCTATCCGACGATGTTTCGGATGGAATCCTCTCTCGAACACTGATATTATCAGTTTCTTCGAGAAGATTTGGAGGTACTCGCCCAGGTTGGCCAATTTCAACATCAGATTCGCCATCCTGCAACATCGAAGTCCAATAAAAACACAAGTTCTTCATAGCCGAACAAAGTCATGAATTTTCAACACTCACCGTGTTCTTCAATAAAGGCGCCACAGCCGTGTCCAAAGAGCTGGATAAATCGTTGCTCAACCGCCGATCTTTACTCTCCTTGCTAACAGAATTCCTTTTAGAAGGCTCCATTTCTTCTTTGATTAAGTCAGTGTCAGTGCTAGTTGAAGATTGTAGCCGTTGCCTTGTGCGGGTTTTTTGAAATACCTGAATTGAGAACCTACTGGAAGAACAATAACGAGTACGATGCAAGGGCAGTTTAGAACTTGTGATGTCACAAAAAGGTGAAAAAAACTGACATGAATCTGCTCGCTATCATTCTTGAAATTCTCCAACAACTCGTTCTGCTTCTTATAGTAATCAGACACTTCTTTTTTGGGTTTTCTCAACTGGAAAAGATTGATTAAGAATTACAAAGACGAATTATTTGTGCAGTTTACCTCGTTAGGGGTAAGCGGTATCCTAGCTGGTGAGTTTCCAGAGTGACGAGGTACATTTACGTTTGCTACGGATGTAGCATGCGGTAGAATAGTGACAGACTGGGATGCTGCGCCCTTCGGAAGCGAAGAGGTTCGCAATGTTGGTGCTGTAGATACATGGCGAGCGCCCATCTCTGTGGGTCTAAAAAAAACTTAGTAGCTAATCAGTTTCCCATCACCGAATTTTCATTCAAGCTAATAATCTGAGCTACTTCTATAAATTTATCTAGAAATATCATCTATTGCGGATGATAGCAGAGGTGGATAGAAGCGCACTGAGCCACAACCATGCGCTCAAGCAACTAAGAGGCAAATATGCATGTGAAAAGCAAACAAGATTGTTTCTCTTCTCACCTGGTTCGTGATAAGGATTACCCGACACTTGAAAAAGCCAATACAAGAGGACAAAAACAGCCGGCACCCACGAATCATTCAAATTTCGAGATCTCAGACATGATCAGAATTCAATGGACAATGAAAATCATCCAAAACCGTGGAAACGCGTTGATTTTGACAGACAGTCAGCGAGATCTTACTGATTGCTGCATTATCTAGCCGCGCTATTCATCGCATTTTTTGAAAAATTATCTCAAATTGAAAAAATGACTTCTCTTAAACATGGAACACTGGTGCTCAAGGACGGATAAACTAGGAAAAAAACTTCCCCACTTTTGCCACTATAAATTCTGCGTCACCGTTTTCAAAAGCAACAGCGGATCGGGAAAGTCGGATGGGCCTCGAAACTACATGGAATGATTGACTAAATTGAAAACAAAGCACACTTCATTAAGTGCAGAACGTTTCACCAGCTGTACAACAAAGTCAATCAGAGGGAATTTTAACTGTGCATTGTTGCTCACCACCAGCTTACAAAGCTAGAATGTTTTGCAGAACCCATTCAATCAGAAAGCAATGTCCGCGAAGTTGTGAAACACCGTGAACTGACCGAAGAATAACAGAGAACTAATACATCAATGTATGGCGTGAATCATTCAACAGCTCTATGTTAGCACATCTCGCCAGATGCCATAGTGATTCAAAAATCTGATTCACCTTTTAGTTATCATGGTAACTAGAGGGTGATCAGGTTATGCAGACGGACTAAATTAGAGAAAAAGTTGCACAATTAATTACAGAAATTTTACATTGAATTCAGGGTCAGAAGATTGTCAGATAAATGCAACTCTCACTGATCAACTAAATTTCTCCTTTGCAACGCACTTCGTAAAAACGTTAAAACTCACGCATCATTTCCAGCATCACGCCGCAACCGCTCGTCCGCAGAAGGCCGTCTGTGGGAGTCCCCGAGTAATCGTTCTTCATCCTCATTGTCGAGCAGTCCGAAGCGAGTGTCGTTCTCGGATACCGAATTACGCTTCTCGGCTACGGTCGTGGGTTGAAGTATTAATTCTTCTTTTGGTCGATGAGGGATAGTCGGTAGAGGTCCGTTTGCGTTATTGTAGCTATGTGACTCGGGCAGGATGATTTTACGGGAGAATTCGTCCTGCTCGTGGACGGTGGACATGCCTGAAACATTATGAATGTAGGAATGAATCTGTAGGGATGAAAGCTATAATAATCAATCGAACTAGATGAAAGAGATGCAACACAGTGCCTTAATCTATGAAACATTCAAAGAGGAAGCAATTCAATCCAATTGCATTGTAGTCATATCTCTCGCAAAAATTATAATTTGTTGATATCTCTCAAAAATTTTCCCTATTGTCAGCCATAAAACTCTCACTGGAGAACTTCTCAAAATCTTGAAAAGCAACAAGGAAGCCATATACCATATGAACTCATGCTGTCCTTTTCCTCTGATTGAGAACGGCTGCATGGAAAATAATACATAGCATTCCATAATAAGATTAACATCAAATTCTATATGTGTAATGATGGTGCGTACTACACGAGGAATTTGCGAAAAAAGTGATCTGGTCCGGTTTCCAATTCATCGAACTAGTTCTTCCATGTAAACGGAAGCAAAAATGTGAATGATGACCAGACTGAGGCAAAAGGAGCACTCAGAAATTTGAATGACTTCTTCAAAGAACGAGTCTTGAAGCAATTACAACACCTTTTGCCCTGATGTGTGTTTCTGGAGATTATCACTTAAGCCTAATAAAGAAATCGAGAAATATTGACAGAAAATCGAAAAATTCGATTAAGGACTCTCGACCCATAAGATGTTGATACCCCAACATACTGACTTCTTCAAATCGGTAAAAAGGAGATCCACGGCCCGAACTCATACGAATAGGAGACCAAGAACTCAACACCTGCGAATCTAGAAAAATGAAGAAAAGCACCATTAAGCCAATTTAAGCCAAATACCGGGAAGTTTTGAGAAAGCAGCAACCAGCTAACGATGGGTAGCAGGGCGTCTTTGCGAGTGACCTCTGCACTTGCACAGATATTCGCACACAGTCTGCTCTATACAAATGCTTAATCAAAAAAATTATGCCAAAATTCACAGCTAAGAAACTAGCAAACTTTAGTGCATTTCGAGAGCAAGATTGTCCGCGTAAATATAGAAACTTCAATGAAACTCCAGACATTTGATACGGTGAAACCTCACTCTTTTTTCAGATGAACGCTGTAGTTCTTCATTTTGATATCTATATTACGGTTGATCAACTCTGTTGTTCATATCAAAAAGCCATGTGCCAATAACAAACATCTGTCACCGCTAATCCAAAAGTTAAATTCAAAGGTGCGATGTTTTTCTAGACAGTTTCATTGAAATTTCGCACTGGTAAACATAAAGATTATGGTACAGTAATAGTGCAAACATCATAGTGGCGCCTGCAAGTCTGCCATGCAAAACATCGAGTGCATTCGAGTTTGCGCAAAGAACCTCCGATTATGACTTGATAGTATGGCATCCAAATTATTCTAATACTATCCTGCCAAAGTCGATCAATATCAAGAAAAGATGTGTTAGGGAAAACTGGTCATTTATGCAAGTCCAATGATGTTTTATTGCCCATTTCAAAAGTGACGTAAAAACCGGACTGGCACGATATGTGGATGAAGTGTAAATTCTCCGAATTACTCACTACTCGTCCAACTAGACATAGACTGAACATTCAAACACATGGAAGCTCTCAAAGAGAAGAGATAACTTCTCGTGGAGATGAGATCTGAACAGGAATCCCTGACGTAGTTTATGCGAGATAATCCCAAAGTTCCCCCCCCCCCCCCATTTCAGAATGACATGCAGAAATGAGGAAGTAGGACCAATGTTTGGAAAGCGTGCAGCCAGAAAACTGCCCTATCTGTTGAATGACGACGTAAGCTATCATTATAAGAAGCTCAGGAAGAATTTCTTAGGACGTACCGTGTAAACGAAAAGAAGGAGAAAGATATAGAAGCAATTTATAGAGCTGGAAGCGGCGTTCAAACGTCCTTACTACGATATAACAGGTTCTCGAGCACAACGCGCCTCGCTGTGGCAGAAATTTACATGCAAAGAAAGAAAGAACAAGTACCTACCTTGCTATCTCATACGTAAATCTAAGTTTCAACCAGTTGTTGCAATGGTAAGAAAAAAATGAAGAGTAAACATAAAATTCAAGCAAAATGATAACTACTATCACCGAACAAGTGAAAAATGTAAACTTGAAATTGGAAACTCACGGCTAAACGGCATGTTCTTTTTTCCCACTTGACAACCACAGATCTAATATGGGATTACGTTCATTGAGAGCTCAGAACAGCAAAACACCAGATCGATACGGAGAGCGCAGTTGCGAGAAATCCAGCGACACTCGAGGACACACACTGAAAGTGGATGTTCTCAAAATTGGGTATTCTTGGAATGCAAAGAAATTAGGGATCCGCAAGGGAAGCAGTCAAATCGCTGTCAGACAATGTTCTACAAGAATTATACGAGGCCAGATTGAAGCAACAATTCTATCGAGTAGATGAGAGCGTTCACGAACAAGATTTTCTTGTGGGTTGAAAAAACTCCAAAAAAAAAAGTCGCGCCGCCCGGCTGCCATAGCTACGGTAACAGGCTGTGACAAGCAATCGCGATAAATGCACAGTGTAAAAACTTCTAAAGAGAAAGCTGCAAAGTCCTTCTTCTACTTGAGCATCAGTTTTTCTCCCAGCGAAACCAACTTTCACCTTGAAGATTTTGACCCCAAAAACACACCTCTCTCCTACCCTTATTCTAACACTTCCGCAGCAAGCTATAGGCGATTCATCGACCGTAGAAAGTGGCTATTTGTGGCATCCGCGGCGCGCGTAAAATTATGTTCCAGTACAAACTGTGACCGTACAAGTCAGCTGTGCGTCCATCCCACGATTGCTGCTCGTTCCGGTCTTTCACATACGGATTGGCTAACATGTTGCAACATATCAGAACTCATACCGAAAATTTTGTTGCCATTGTGTTGCAGCATGTTGCAATCATGCCCATGCCTGCTGCAGGTAGAATAGAACGCGAGTGCGGGAACTGTGCAGGAACTGTCTCAGGATCTGCGGATCAGTATTAACTGGAGTTATGGGGATTTTACGCGGAAAGCAATTTTAGAGCCCCTTAGGGGCATGCCCAAGCGGCAGCGCAGGTGACTCACTAACGGCTGAGATATACGCCTCCAAAGTGGACACCAGGATCGTATTCGCATGGATCCATGGCGCAACCCAGTTCCGCGCGAGGACCCACGGGTTGCGCCATGAATCCATGCGAAATACGATCCTGGGGTCCAGTTCCGAGGAGAATATCTCAGCCGTCAGAGCACTACCTAGTTGCTGGTTTGGCAGTGGCTTAGTTAGGGCCCCAAAATTGCTATCCACGTGAGATCCCCATATGTCCAGATTTGCCTGGACGCTGCCTTTAACCCAGCCACAGGGCTCCGCCATTTCGCAGTCGTCGTGAGACCCTTTGGTTACAGCGTGAGAAAGCTCATCTTTGAACCGGGTAGAGGACTATATGTCGCCGAAATGGGACGGCTCCCGTGGTCATTTGCAAAGCACCCTTTCACATGCATGGAGGTGCGTGTAGCCGCTTTTGGGCACTGTTTCAATATCCGGGCCCGAATGAGATCTGGATCTTGCTCAAGCTTGATTTAGTGAGATTAGTAGAAATGCTGATCATATATCATAACCTTATTAGGTTTTGGGAAGATGTCAAGATACTGAGACAGTGCGCAAAAGCCTACAGGTTAGGTAGGTGCCAGAGTAAGCGAATATTTTGTTCAAGTTAGGGTCCCGCGCAGAACTGGCATCACTAATCATTGTGGCATAATGCCAACTTGGCGTTGTGCCACAATGATTAGTAACGCAGTTCTGCGCGGGACCCCAACTTGAACAAAATATTCGCTTACTCTGGCACCTACCTTAGGGGCGGCTGCCAGCGCAGTATGAAGGCACCTTGAGAGAAAAGTACGCGACCAACCGCGTCGCAATGGATAGCGCAGCGGTTGTGGTTTGCGCGAATGCGGAAACACACCCTATGTGGTTCCAAGTGAGACTTTTTGAATACTAGCGACAAGATAAGTGATTCCAGAAGTGATGCATCCTATAAAGTGGAGCAATTTCGTTAAAAGGACACTCTCGCCTTTCAAAATCTGTATTTTTCGCTTGTTAGTCGCTTGTGAGTCAAAACTTGTGCGAAGATATCAAGTTTGGTTCTAAGCCTAATATAACAAAAGATAACCACTTGCTGATGTCACAAATCTTTCTGAAAGAGCTGTAGTGAGAGACTATTGCAAAAATCGATATCTTTGTATGGCAATGTTTGCACTTTTGCACTTTCGGACAGCATGCTCTAGAAAAACTTTAGCGTTATTTCTCAATAGCAAAGGGCAGTTTCTTCACACACAATTCGCAGTGTAAACATTTTGTTCCCCGTTCACTCAAGTTATAAAAAATCGTTGATAAATTGTCAGAGTTTCTGGAAATGAGCAAAGATTGTTGGGAAGGGATTCATCATGCAATGTTCCTAGCTGAGACATTTTTTATGTGTGCGAGTGGAGAACCAAGATTCGTCTCGCCGATGCAGAGAGTGCAGAAATGCGTGCGCGGCCTGCGCGTCACTCTGGTGTAGCAGAATGTAGGCAGCAGTAAATGCAGTAGCTATACAAACAGAAATTCGATATCCAACCTATTTTTGCTCACTCAAAAATCCATCTCAAGTATGGTGCATCCTCCAGAATGGTTCACATATGAACCATCAACGTGGCTGTCTTTCGATCATTTTCACACGTAAACTTTGAATAAGCGCCTCAAATTTGCTGGAGGTAACGTGTTAAAACGGCTAAAAGGCAGCCGCGTTGATGACCCCTGACTGAATTTCTGGATTTTCTGAGGGCTTGCTTCAAATCGCTGAACCTAGATTTTGATTTCCCATTTTTATGCGACGAATGCTCACTGAAGAGTAAGCAAGATGTCACTAGAAAATGTTTGCTTTACTCTCTCCAAAATATTTTTGCCGTGCAAGATCATTGTGACTGGAAGAAGCTACGATTTTTTGAAAATGGAACGACAGAAATTCCGGATCAACCTAGACGTGCTGTTTTCATGTTGAGTAACATTACAATACACATAACCTCGACGTCAATCCCTAAGTTACATTTGCATAGTGGAGTGGTGTGGTGCAGCCGCCTCGCTTTGCGCTCGCGCCACGTTGCTGGGGCATCGTTTAGACGTGATGTGGCGCTAAAAACAACGTGGCGCCACAACATGTTCAAACGTGGCAACAAGAACAATGTTTCTTCGTTGCTCCTGTTGCCACGCCATGCCAACTCATGCGCTCGCAAGGTGGCGCGAGCCCAAAGCGAGGCGGCCACACCACAACACTCCACTTTGGAAATGTAACTTAGGGATTGACGTCGAGGATATATAAATAGACGCCCATAGCTCGCTCCAAAATGATGCTCTGCAGCTGGAGACTTCATATTTGTCAGTATATGAAGCTGAGTACTATTCTTCTTGAGATACCAGCTTAAGCCAGTATCCTTCCCTTTTTAGAGCTTTTTAGCTCTTTCTTGCTTTGCGTTATTGACGTCCAGAGCTGTCCGTGTCAGCTCTATGTCAGCGCCGTGCCGGTGTCTTGCCAGAACGGTCAATCAATACGGACCGCGTAAGCGTGGGTTCCAGCATGGCGCTGGCACAGGTCTGGCACGTGGCAACTCTGAACGCAGACTAAGCTTTTTGGCGCTTTCTGGTGTATTTTGGCGGAACTCCCCATAGTGGTTTTTTTACATGGCTTTTAAGCTATCGACTATGCTCGCGGTTTCTTCGCTGTAAAATGCGAATAAAAAGTAGGGACATTGAAATAAAAGCACAAGGACACACTTCATTTTCTCACGGCAGGGAGAGGAAAACACAAATATGTCGTAATTGTTGACAGAACTGCTGTAATTAGATTAGTAAGGTTGTAAGCAACAGACCTAGAGACTTCTCAGACATTCGCAAAAATTCTAGACAAATGAGGGATAAAATCTGCATTTTATGATTAGTCAATAATCCATGCAAACAGTAGAATATTGCCAGCATAAGATAATGAACTAGTTTCGAGAAACTTTTTCCAACTAGTGGAGTAATCAAAGAGCATTCTCACTCTCTATCTCTCTATTCCTCCGTTCAAAACACCACATGCTCGCAATGACGCAAAGATTACAACTTGTCAAATAGCTCTTCGCTCAGAGCCATTCGATCAGCGTCAACTACTTGAGGGCGAAAAAAGTCAGCACTTGGTAGAGAATGTCGCTATGTTTCTAGGTGCAAAAATTGCGTAACGGAAATATGAAGGAAATGTAATATATGAAAAGAAAAATGTAAAGCTGACGACAAGCTGTGAGTCATGCATTTTGTTATTGATCACAAAAACTTGGACAAGCGATCGAACGTAGAGAGAAAAAGGAAAATGCGTGAAAATGAAAATAAAAGATGTAAAGAGTAAAAATACTCTTGCCTAAGCGCATGAATTTTTTACAACTTTTACACCTTGGTCTAGCAAAATAAAAATTAAAGTACGAAATATTTTCACGTTAATTGTATTACCATCGAAAGTGTCTTTGCTGAGACGTAAAAAGTAGTGTTTCGTAAATACCTATCTTATGACGAGTTAATGCATCTTGCTCTAGAAAGAAGAGACTGTTTGAAGAAAAGATTGAAGGGAATGGATCTTCTTTGTTCGATGGTGATGTCTAGTCGATGATTGATCTTCTTAGCAAACATCTGCCACAGAACTGCGACAGTGTGATGCGCTATGAAGATTTATTAGGATTTAAGAGGACCGTTAGTGAAATTTCGAATCAGGTACTGAAAAAAGAAGAATTTCAGAAGAGAAAAAAATTTATTGCTGACAAGATACATCAAGGTGAAAGAAAAAAAACAAGCAAATTAGATACTTCAGTAGGTTCAAACATTAATAAATATTTACAACACCGATTCAAAGTTCTTTGAGGCGTAATCAAACATAGTAAAATCTCATATGTCAGCCTCGCTTCATTTCTTCATTGCATGACTTGCTGAATATATTTACTTTGACATTCGAGCACGCTTGCCACGCTATTTGCGTTTTGTCTTTGTCTTCTCTGCTCTTTTTTGTTAATGAAAGTTGCATCTGCAAAGGATATCTAATATTTTTTGCAATTTCTTCGCTGTAACTGGGAATGGAATGGAATAAAAAACATGGGGAGTATTCGCATATGAATGGCTTATAACAGATGTTAGTCGATTCGCCAAAAATCGCTTAAGCCCATGTATGTTTTTGTAGAAGCACTAATGACGTTCTTAGACATTCAAACAATATAATATGAAGTTACTTGACGCACGTAGGGTAATGAATGTTCATTTACGCCTCAGTTAAAGCTTGAAGAAAATAGAAAAAAGTGACGTAGAGCAAAGAACTGCGAATGTATGGAGATTAAGAGCTGAGCAAATTTCGCAACAAGCTTTATCAATCACTTTCATCATTTGCGCTATTTCAGGCACAAGTATTATTTACAAAAAGAATTGGATTGTAAATAATCCGATAATGATTCATTTGTGGTGTGCGTTAATCTTTCTCGGTGACACAATTTGAGAGATTTTTGAGGAGCGTGTTCAGGGGCTCGGCACAGATGGCTTATAAGCAAGCTGGATATCTTTTTTGGCACAAAAAGCAAAGGGGTTTCGTTTTTTTTTGTAACCGAAAAGACACAACATTTGCGAACGACGTTCTTTTAGTCGATGTATCTTTTTTGGAGAATTTCTAGGGATTATGGTCTAGGATCAACAGGGACTGAAAAATTCGCAAGAGTCAAGGGGGACTTCGTTTTTTGCATTTTTAACTAGCCACCTCGTGCCGAGCCCTGGTCGTGTTCTAAATAAACAAAGAGATGAGTCCACAATAAGAAAGAATATTCTAAGAATTCCAAAATATCCAAAAGGTATCTACTGTTTTTTCACACAACCGGTTTCGGGGCTAAGAACTAGACCGGTAGTGTAGCTTTCTTGGCGCCCCATCCTTAGTAGTTTCCAAAATAGCTTCAAAACGATATGTAGATCAAGTTAGTCCTCAATCTTTAGCCTTCTATGCATCAAAATTCTCGAAAAAAATCAACATCCACTAGATTTTTGGTGTTTTTGCCATTCTTCTTTTTCATCTTTTAAACTTTGCTGAGCTTGAGACAGAATACAAACAATGTTGTCAGGCTAAACACTTTGGTTATATATCAAAATATTGTCAAAGATTGCTAGTTGCGGTGTAAGCGGCAGCGATGAAGACCGGATAAGGACCGGATAAGCAGACATGCTGCTTATGTAACAACCTTCCATCTTCGAAAGAAGAGAAAACCGCATTTAGCAACCAGTTCAATGCAGGAATGGCAGATCACCGCAGCAGTCTATGACTATGAAAATAGACTCCACTATAGCAGGGACTACATATACATAAGTAACATTGACGACAACGCAAGTTTTTGATTGTCTGCCTCTTGGACCAAGGACCTTTGACGGACTAGTCAGAACTTTTCAGATAAAACCACGCATACTGCCATCTACAGTATACCTACAGTAGCTGTGGAATGTTGACAAAGAAGATAGAGATCATTTCTAGATTCACAGCAAAAGAAAACTTCTGGAATGAATTTGTGTCAAGATAATCGTCATTTTAACGAAGTTCGAGGGCCCCACGTGGTAGTCATTGCTTGACACACATGATGTGTCAAGCTCTCGTCATTGTGTTGATTAGAGGTCGCAGGACCTTCGGCTGAGGAAAAACTACAAAGAAATTTTGCATGCTGCTTATGTACTGAGCCATATTAGCTACATACGTCTCCCATTTATGGGAAGCTTTTAAAATTTTGGGAAATATGTGACTAAACGTTCGAAAAGGCCGGAATTTTCTTCCACAAATTGTTGCAACATTTGCGGTGACAGAAGTATTAGGTTGCCTCAAAAATAAGTTCCTTTTCTAAACAAATCGAGCTGTTTTAGTTCCCCTATCAAAGCTAGGGTATCATTCGATAGAGCGAAGCAAGGTCTATAAAACGACCAAAGAATCTAAGTCGTAATTCAGTAAAGTTTGGAGCCAAGATCGAAAAAAAACTTCTTACCTAAAAACGGGAGCGGTAGTAATATGATGGTCGAAACTAACGAATGATGTGATGGTTTAATCGTGATTACATCGTGGTAAGCATGATCATCTTCTTACGGCCGTTCAGTTCAATCGGTCATAGGAAATTATGAAACATGCAAGTTACTTTCGGAAAACCATAATTGTTTCATGCTTGTTTCATTCTAAACCAAACTATGAATTGATCAGCAGGTTAACATTATTGTTTCCTTATCAGGTAGAGTAATGAAAACAGCATTTCATTTCATGAGACGCAGACGTGAAACCAGCATATCATAGTTTAAAATGAAAAAGTACCCCCGACCACTTTTTCGTTTAAAAAAATGATGTGTTGGTTTTGCAAGTTAAGAAGAGTGAGGGAGATCATTCTGCAACTTACTATGAGAAAGCTTACTTGTTTACAGCTTAGATAAGGTTATAGGAAGGTGCAAGGCTGAAGACCGAACTGCAAATTTGGTAAAGTGCAATGATTGCTGACAAGCATGAGAATGGTTGGAGTTTCGATCTTCTCCAATGACTTTGCTTTGCAAGATACCATTTCGAGGTTTCCTATTGGTTAATTCGTGGTTTCGTTGGGAACATGATATGAAGCTGCTGGTTAGCTGGTGTCATGAAAACACAGTTAACATGATAGTTTCGACCAAAGTACTACCACTCCGGATTTTTGCGATAAAAAATTTTACGAGCCGTAAACTTGATCATTATACAGTGGACACATAGTAATACTCAAGCACGCCGTTTACTGTTTTCCGCGTTTGAAAGCACCTTAGAATTTTGCTTCTGTTTGTGCTCTAAACGATAACTAAGTTTGACATTAAAAACACCCAGAAAAGCGACATTGCATTTTCGGGCCATTCTAATTTCTCAGTTTGAGCCCCGAAAAAAATCCACCAAACACCTTTCTAAGTACTAATGTATAATCCAAGTTGGAGGTCCGTATGAATTTCCTGGAAGAAGATATGATTTTTAGGGTACTTGAAAATTTTTGATTTTTGGCTCCAAGTTTTACATGGATGATGAAAACAATCATTTGCACTACTTCATAACTCAAGAAAAAAACAAAGAAATTGCGGCAACCCTTCTCCTCCTTTAATCCCTGCGATCGCCTTCGGTAGAAAAGATTATCATGGTAAAAGGCAAATCAACGGATAACACCTTCAACAAAACAGTACTCAGTCTGTTTATAAGTTGACGTCTTACAAAGATAGTGAACAAAGAAGGAGTCTGATGTACTTGGTGAGATGCAGCTGTCCAGTCGCCGACCATATGTGCTCTCTTTGTCTTCATAGTGGCTGTTTCTTCAGCATAACCCTTCAGAAAATAACACATTCACACATGTCTTTCGCACATCTGCCCTCAGAATCGAAGATAAAGGTTAAAAAAAAGCTTTCCATACATATTCTATTCTGTGAAGCGATTCGAAGGAGCGAAAAGCATTAGAACAAGGTAGGTTATAACAAATGAACTTTGTGATGGGATCATGTAAAGTCTGAAGTGATCGGTCATTCAAGGTTTTGAGCTAGAAATAAAAGCGCAGAAAAGGGGAGGGAGGCGGCTTTCTAATTCCACAATAGGCCGCAAAAGTGTTCACATAAACAGTCAGAAAATAAAGGATAAAGGATTTGGCCTTTCGATACCCTCTGCTTGCATGCGCCGGACGCACACTATTTCATAGTTGAAGAGGCGATTGTATGCGTGCAAGCCTTTACAGTGACTTGCGGGGAACAGCCGATTACCAAGTCAGTGCTTTTATCCTCCCAGATTACTTAGGTACCACTTAACCGTCTCCGGAGAGTAGAGGGCTTGGTTGTCCCAGGAGCGGGATGAACTTGCGTCCGACCAGGTCATAGCGGCACCTCATACCACTAGGCCACTCCTCCCCACATGAACAGTTATGACTATGCAAACAACTTTTTTCGCTGGTAAATAATTAGAACAATTTTCAGTTAAATCGAAATAGCCTCTAGGACTTTTTTTGAGCGACCATCAAAGCTGACACTTTATTCAAGAAAAAAAAACCTCTGTGTAGTGAGAATCTTTGCAGCGCATCGAAAACATGATCGTGCAGTTTCTAACGAGGGAAGGATAGTTGGATGCCGCGGCCATTCCTAATGATTTGTATACCAAAAAATGCGCCTTCGAATGCAGATTCTGAATCTATGCTCGAAATCTGCGAAACGATCTTTTGAAGAAAGTTATGAACTTTTTTCCTCGAAAATTTAGCCTACTTTTGCATAGTAAAAATCACCACATTTGATCTAGCCTACCGCTTGATGCTACTGAAGAAAATTTTAGACGTAGTAATATTTATTTAGACTATCTGGATCATACTCAGCATTTGGAAAGGAGAGAAAATTTTTTTATTGATGATTTTGACCCTCCGCAGGAACGCAATTTTTTTTTAATGAAAAAAATCATAACTCCATTCAGATTATCGTTTCGCAGATATGAAAGACAGTCTACGAACCAGCATTCAAAAGCGCATTTTTTGGTATACAAATCATTATGAATGGCTACGGCATCCAAGTATCCTTCCCTGTAAGAACGAATAGCACAGATGAAATGTGGGATGTGTAGGGGGAGTCTCCAAAATTGAAAAATAATATGTCTAGTATGAAAGTCCCGAAACATTTTCCAGCGCTAGGCTCCCATTCAAAGCATCAACTCTGGAATCATGATCGAGATACAAGATACAGGGCTAAAAGCAGGGACAGTCAAAGGATAAAGTGGAGTAAGATTTCGAAGCTCGTTGTTTCAGACTGATAAAGTTAGCAGTGATATATAAGGCTTTTGAATCAGCCAGTTTGTCATTTTTTACACATGCAGTGAGGTCAGTTGCAAACAAAAGCTTGTCGATGAGACTAAATCTCTACATGTGCAGAATTTCACAATTGAGGAGCACTGCCAATGTCCAAAGAGCAGCCGAAGCAGCCGAAGACGTTCTCGTGGGTAATTTTGTTGCCAAAATAATGCATATAATCTGCTAGTATTGTTATGAATAGTGTAAAAAATGCAGGGAGCTACGACCAATAGGGCGATAGCTGACGACCCAAAGGGGTTGGACCGCGACACCCATGCGCAAATTCATGCATTGCCTGCGATTAAAGTCATGCCAAACTTTGTCGTGCGCTGGGCAATAAACATAACTCAGTCCTAGCGCTGCTTTGAAAATTTTCTGCACTTTCTGGTCGCGGTCTGTATTACATTTTAGGGGCATTCCAAGAATTCTGAATGCTGGACTAGCTGGCATCGTTGGAGTTACGTGTGTGTTCCCACTTGATCTTGTCAAAACTCGTTTACAAAATCAAAGAATTGGGCCCAATGGGGAATTAGAGTATAGCGGCATGTAAGTACAGTGTTAACACTTTGAAGGCGAGCCCACGCCTGCTTGTGCCAGCGCCATTTCAGCGCCGTGCCGAGACTGGACGTACGAAACCGACGCATACGCAGGGCGCACAAGGTTCCGGCACGGCGCTGACACGGCGTCAACACATTCTGGAACGGCACCGGCACGGAGCTGGCCCGAGGACTCTGGAACTAGCCTGGGCACGCAATTTTTAACTATCTTTAGCCGTGACTGCGCCAGAAAGACATGGACCGCTGGTGGCGCATCAAAATTTGCAAAGGTATGTTTCTAATTATAGTAGAAGAGCTAGGCGAGATAAAAGGAGCTTTTAAGATCAGAGGTCTTTATTCCGGATCTGCTGTTAATATTGTGCTCATCACACCAGAAAAAGCTATTAAACTTGTTGCAAATGACTTTTTCCGTTATCATCTTGCCGTTCCTGGGCAGAAGTAAGAATTATATATGCGTAAACACTTTATTGGAGTTTCTATCTTCCAAAACATTTCTTACCACTTATACAGAAAACTATCAACTACTCGTGGAGCCCTAGCTGGAGCAGGCGCTGGCGCACTTCAAATCGTCATCACTACACCTATGGAACTTTTGAAAATTCAACTGCAGGATCAAGGAAGGACAGGAGGTCGGAAACGGAATGTCCTCGTTAGCTATGGAATTTGAGATGATAATGTTGCAGTACAAGGTGAGAAGAAAATGACAGCACTTGGAATTTCTGCCCGACTTTTGCGCGAACATGGTATCGCTGGCTTGTATAAGTGAGTGTTTGCTATACAGATTTGGAAAAAACGAACCAGTTGCCCTTTAGGGGTCTTGGACCGACCTTTTGTCGTGATGTCACGTTTTCTGCAATTTATTTTCCGCTTTTCGCTTTCTTCGACTCGCTTGTAAATCTTTTTTCTTAGGAAAAAGTGTTTGAAAAAAATGCTGATGTTGAAGGGTCCAAGAAAAAAGGATGGTAGTGGTGATGCCGTTTTTTGGACCTCATTCTGCGCAGGAATGACCGCCGGTGCTATTGCATCATTTTCAGTAACACCACTTGATGGTAAGTACGTACAGTATTACTTTGACGTGCCCTGCGGCTGCGACGCGCCCCTAGTTGTCTGCGCCTCTTCAGTTCCCACACACTCTCGCGTGTACTGGAAAGTCAATGTCGCGTCGCAGCAGTGGACGCGGCTTGCGCTTTGCCTGCGTCTTGACTAGCATTTGCCCTTTTCAGTGGCAAAGACTCGCATCCAAACGATTAGAAAAAAGGCTCATGAACTAGTTTACAAAAATGTGGCACAGGCATTGTAGTAAGAAAATTTTCAGAATTTTTCCCTAAATTGTTTTGACCTCCATTACTTTCAGCAGCATTCTACGTACCGAAGGTGTACAAGCACTATTCAAAGGAGCAGCTTGTCGTGTCATGGCTATAGCACCCTTGTTTGCCATTGCTCAAACAGTTTATTACATTGGAGTGGCCGAGAAAATTCTTGGTGTGAAGAAAGCCACACATGTCTGATAATCAATTAGATTTCCAATACTCGAATCAAACGAACTGTACAACAATCAACGAGAACCTCTTTACTGACTGAATAAATAAATTTTTATTTGCCATCGGAATGTCAGAGTACTTTAATTCTTGTAAAGACCAAAATTTATGTACTCTCGTCATGCGCAAACGATGAGTCAGAGTGGCATTTCCGTTTACCTAACGACGTCGGAGACAATAAATCGTCAAAAGAAACCTGTTCTCACTGTCGCTGCCATCGACATCGCTGTAAAAAGCGCCGTAATAGTAATGTCATCACCGCTTTTCAACCTTGGTCAGTGATTGTTGTCTTATTTTGAACTGACTTCTTCTAGGCAAAGTTTGGTACTCAGAATGTTTACTTGATCTACAGCTTTATAGTAGGGTTATAGTTTCAGGTATAAGTGGTGGCCTCACGTGATCTGTTAACCAATTACTTCGAGAGTATTTTATTTTTCAACCAACTATGTTTCCTTGTACTAGCTTGCATCTAATTCCTAAAAGTACATGCATGAAGTAACTTAACAATTTCCATTTTGCCGGGCATTGTAAACAATATTCTAACTTGTGTTCAGTTGCTATTGAACTTGTGCAAGCAGCTCCAACGGATGTCCTATTTTGGGTAAGGTTTGTCAACTTAGATTTGAAATACAAAAAAACCTATCGCTCTTCATCAAATTTTGAAAAAAGGTGAAGATTGCCTGAATCGGCGCAGTGTCAAAGTAAGTGCTGGGAAAAAATTTAAAACCGTGAAAATTTTTTGCTAATCTGCTCTTAGAGATGGTGTTGATAGCTCTATAGAGCTTCGCACAACTGCACAATGTGGGGCTTTTTTACACTAGATTTACAATACAAAGAATCTCCGATTTTTCTTCATTACTGTGGGATTACGGCAAAAATTTCAGATGGGTCTTCTGCCATTTGGAATCGAAAAATGCTGCATCTACTGTAAATGGTATCACAAATTCAAAACATCGTGAAAAAGCCGCGACCGTATATCTGTCATTTGAACAAAAACTATTCAGTTTATAGTTGAGATCAGCTACACAGTTGTATTTGATGGCGGAGTTTTCACTCCTTTAGGTTTTTATAATATTTGCGACATTTGCGATTCTCAGTGGCAAAAAACTCTCCCTGAAGTTCTTACCGTAATTCCACAGTGATAAAGAATACTTCGTTTGTATCGTAAATCTAGATAAGGAAAGCTTATATTATAATGTAATAACGTATTCAATCTGCTGGGGCAAGTGAGTTATCGAAGATCAAACACCATGTACATTTTTGAGCACCCCTTATAACTGCCTGAAAAGGGAAGAAAAAGTAAAGACTGCCTTACAATGAACTAAAGGTTTGTCACTCGACGTTTTTCTGTTAATTCAAAAGTGTTTAATACATGCATTTCTCTCTGAAGACATTTGCATGATTTATTCTATTGCAGAACCGTATTCTAATAACCTTTTTCAATTATGGTCTTGTTCATCCAAATAAGAAATACTGACGTCCAATCTCTTGCTGCTCTTCCGGAAGCGAACCAGTTTTGTATTGTAATGGAAAAAATGTCCTTAGACCTATAAGTACAACAACTAACAATACTAAGGCTCTGACTCAGAGCTCATCTGACTACTTGATGTTGACTCAGTTGAAACCCTATATATACACTTTAACCTCTGTGATTCTCAGTAACCTTCGCGTATTTGTCTCATTAACGCCTGCTATGCTTTTGGGAAAGTTAGTTTCCTGTTAGTCACAGTCAGTACATCTCACTTCCATATAAAGAGAATTGTCTCCAGAATAGCGAGATGGTACGAACTATTTCTAGAGATTCTGCTTGTAATGAGCCCTTGTTACGCTGAATCTCTTCTCCAATGATCTCTATAACTTCTATCATTACAGATGTCTGCGTTATCTATAGTACTGACTATTCTATCCTGCTCAACATTAGCTCAGTCACTTTTCACACAATCAGTTGGTGTCAAAGGTGTGTTGATGTGTGGAGACAAACCACTAGCCAACACTAAAGTGAAGCTTTACGATGATGATTCAGGTAGTTTTTTAAATATTTCCATTAAAAAAATTGATAGAGACTGCCATGCGCGTCAACATCAACAACTGTATTCTCATTGAAATTTTTCGAGATTACTAGACTCGAGTGCCTAAAGAAGGTTGAACTTGTTTTTCCCTGGTTCCACGTAATTAACCCTAAATGAGACAGATCACACAAGTATAAACTTGTTAGAAAACGATCAAACTTGCTTAGACCATGTGCTAAGCGTACTCTCAGTTTCCTAGTCTCACAATGAATGAGATTCTGAATAACCACTCTTTACAATTTTTACTGTAAACTGTCTATTTTCTTTGTAGACACACTCCTTGTCATAATGTACTTTTGTTGTTATGTCCATGAAATCTTGTTCTCTCTCTTTTCTCATGGGCATAAATTTTTATCGAACGTGGTCATCAAAAATCATTGAGCTCTCAATAAAATGAGCTTCACACCTAGTACAAGCACGATGAAAAAATAAAAATAAAAATCATGCACATGTTGATTCAGCATATAAATCACTTTTTGTGTTTCCAGGACCAGATCTCGATGATTTATTGGCTGAGGGAACTACTGATTCTATGGGACAATTCTTGCTTTATGGACACACATCCGAAATCATGACTATCGACCCAAAACTCAACGTCTATCACGACTGCGACGATTCCTTGGTAGTAAGTTGTAATTGAGAAAAATTTAGAAGCCTCTGAGTGGGTGGTTTTGCGACATTTTATGTAAAGGGGTACGGAGGGGATACAGGCAAGAGTATATGGGAGTAATGGGAGCTCGTAGTAGAATTGTATCGGAGGCTTCAGTAAGCATGGCACGAATAAACCAATTTTATATGCACGTAGATTAAGATAGAATGGGCCTAAAAAGCACCTATAACAGGCTGTGTTCTGTGAATATCCAAACGCTTACGCACATGCACACGCGGCGCACGCCTCAATATGCTGTGGGTGTAGGCAGAAACAGACTATATCCCATATCAGATTTTCACAACGCATCTCAGCCTTTGCCTAAACGTTTGAAACTTCAAAATTACAGAGAAAACTCTGGGAAAAATTGAATATTGAACATGAAATATTGATTGGATATACTTTCAGCCATGCCAACGCAAGGTCACATTCCACATCCCGAAAGCATTTGTTTCATCCGGTGAACACCCAAAAACGTTCTTCAACATCGGTCAAGTCAACATGCAGATCCAATTTGAGTCCGAATCAAGGGACTGTCTTCATAGGTAGTAACTACACGGTTATTGTTCGGAATTTGTGAATTTGTGTACAGACAATATTTGTTCGTGTATGTGTAAAATTAAGCTTTTTTCAGATTTATTTGAGTCGAATTTTTTGAAAATAAATTTTCACAAAAATGTGTAGTATTCAAACCGTCATATTATCGCAGAGAAGTGAAAAGATTCTTGATAAAAAGGACAACAAAATGAGCTGACAAGGTCTGAACAGATTCGGCGAAGCAGTTAGTGATAGAAAAGATCGCCACCAACTGTTGTAGGACGACTCGATCAATTGGTTGTCGGTCATCGGTCGGCTCAACTCAGGCTTTCGAACTCATTTTCTTTCGTTTCCAAAATATAATTGTTCTATTTGTTTTCTGAGCTCATTTCATCCACAAAAAATGTCTTTCCTCTGGCAGATATTCATAAAAATCTACCAATCTAGGTAATTTGCAGTATTCCTATTACCGAACAAAAACATCCATTGTTGACATTGTTGAGTTCCCCTGCGCACCACGCTCCCTTTCTCTTTTCCGATTTTTCCAGTCATCTTTCCCTTCCAGGATGTTAATCCTCCTTGCCTTACTCGCATTTGGCGAGGCACTTATGCACATTCGTGATCCAAGCACCTGGCCGCATGTCCGAAGATCGGGAGGACTGTATTTTCCACGAAAATCGTCCTACAAATGGTCCGAAGAATGGCTGGAAAATGTGCCAGTAGATCATTTCGCGTTCAGTAATAAGGACGAGTTCAAAATGAGGTAATGGTTACAAAATGCAATTTATACTTTTAAGGAAACTGCCTTCAGAGTCCTTTCCAATATTTTCGCAAAACACTTGAGCATATTTTTGATGAGAATCATCAAATGCGAAGATAATTCACGGCAGGCCCTATCGGCATCTCACTGATCTAATGTCCTATTTCCTCTCATCGTCTGCTCCCCCTCGCAAACACGCATTCTCTTAGACTGCCGCAACTCCATCCAGTCTTTGCATGCGACAAGTGTTCATAGATCATGTTTAGTTAGCTCCAATCATCGATTTCGTAGTACAAAGTTATTCATTTGTCATCCTCAAATATCTGAGAAAGTGGCCAACGAGAGCTATATACTCGAGCAAATTTATAAATATACTCTGCTTGCGGTAATGACGATAAAATTTACGCAAGAAATGCCATGCTCAACACCTACTAGCTTGCGACTAGCGCGTATATAAGAACGAGCACATTACAACTGTTTACGCGCAAATGTTGTGACTAACGCAAGGACACCATATTGTCAAATCGTAATATGCTTTCCTAATAGAAGATCCTCTGTCAGTTCAGATGCTTTTCACTGAGCGGGTTCAAATTTAGATATTTCATCAACACTGACACTTATGAAGAAGGTGGTCCAATATTCTTCTACACTGGTAATGAGGGCAAATTGGAGGGATTTGCTGAAAACACGGTCAGAAGAAAATGTTATTTCGTACACGAACTGCACAAACAGGGTTTGTTTAGGGCTTTATGTGGGATATTGCTCCTGAGTTCAAAGCTGCCGTTGTCTTTGCTGAACATCGGTTCTACGGTAAAACGCAGCCATATGGCGATAAAAGCTATAACACCACAGAACATCTTGGTTATTTGAGTTCCGAACAAGCTCTGGCCGATTTTGTGCTGCTGATTGATCATCTTAAACAAAAGGTAGTAGTAACAATAATTGATTGGAAAAACGACCAAATCCACGTTTTAGAGATTGAAAGGTGCAGAAAATTCAGCAGTCATAGCATTTGGAGGATCCTATGGTGGCATGCTATCAGCATGGATTCGCATCAAATATCCACACAAAGTTGATGGGTTCGTTGAGAACGCACTCGGTGGTGCAGTTTGGCGTAAAATGGACTTTCAGGGCCATCGCAGCATCGGCTCCAGTATTCTGGTTTATGGATTCGAATGTGCCAGAAGACATATACGACAAGGTTCGTGCCTGAGTTAATAGTTAGGCTGCGTCCGGAGTTGCTCTTGCCAGCGCTACGTCAATCGATGGATACTACGCGCGCCTATGTGAGTGCCGGCACGGAGCTAGCACGGCGGTGGCATGGGAAAACTCTGTACGCTGCCTCATAGTACTATTTTTTCGATAGTTATGGAGCTATTGATCTATCATATTATCAGTCAAACTTTGTTTAATTTGTCATAACAACAGTGATTTTCAGATTGTCACCCGTTCGTTTGTCAACGCTGGTTGCAATCGCAAAGCTGTCGAGAAAGGCTGGCGAGCTTTGCAGAACCTAGCGCAAAGTGGTAAGCACTCTGGCATTTTATACTTGTCGCCGTGATCCAGTCATCGTGTGCAAATGCACATCTTTTCAAATAAGCGTTTGTTAGGAGAGACTGAGGTTGTAAGTTATGGGCGTTTCGTACGCATAAGACTTGTTAAGTGTTTGTGCTAACTTGATTAACTGTGCTCTTCTCAACGAATTTCTGTAATTATCGAAATGGCTAGCTGACTCACAAAGTGCGAATATAGTTATCTATTCGATAAGAGAGCCACCGTTTGCCCTTGGAGCTCCTAACTTTTGAATAAAAAGAGATAGTTAAAAGTGAGAGAAGTTTTTCTTATCATGAAGAGAGATGCAATCAGACTTTCAGACCAGCTGTTGAAGAAACTAAAAGTAAAAAAAAAAGTATTAGCTACTCTTTTTTTTCTAGATGAAGGCCGAAAATATCTCAATGATCTCTTCCACTTGGAAGAGAAATCTCGCATCGAATCACAAGACGATTACCGTTTTTTGGCCGCTTTTGTAAGGGAGGTGTTTGAAAGCATGGCCATGGTAAATTACCCTTATCCTACGGAGTTCCTCTCACCGTTACCAGGATGGCCAGTCAAGGTAAAAAAAAACATTGTACTCATAAGGCAGACAATTTCAGTCGTTTCTAGGAAGCTTGCAAGTTCTTGTCAGCAGTCCCAAAAACCGATGAGGAAGCTGCCAGACAACTGTACGAGGTGGGTTATAAATCTAGTCATCACACGACGGCAGGGCAACATGCGGATCTGTCGGCATCTCTCAGATTAGAAATCACCCTCACCTCTCTCGCCGTCTGCTCCTCTTTCGGATACGTACTGTCTCAGTCAAACGCAGCTGCGATACCCTCTGCATTCGCTGACTCGTCCGCCACAGCAACACGCTTTTCGAACTTGTTCTTCTGTTCAGGTCACAAATCTTTACTACAACCATACTGGCACAGCCGAAACTTTCTGCGCCAACGCCGAACGATGTGCTGGAGCTTTCGCCGCACTTGGTGATCCTATGGGTTGGCCTTGGCAAGTAAGGATAAAGAGTAGAACACTGAAACCGTATCACTTTTACTTTTCTCTTTCAGTCGTGTACAGAAATGGTAATGCCATTATGTGGGAGTGGATGGCCAAATGATTTCTTCTGGAAAGACTGTCCTTTCACAGTTGATGGAGCTGCACAGAATTGCAAAGCATGGTAGAGTTGATGACATCGATGCCAGCACTATCGAAAAGGTTTTTTATAGGTTCGAGAAAATTGGATTCGATCCCTCTATGCTTCGACCGCATTGGGCCACTCAGAACTATGGCACAGCATTCCCTTCTGCCAGCAATATCGTATTCTCGTATGTTTATTACATTGTATATGGTCTGGATAGCATGTTCTGCATGAAAAAACACCACTTTGCTTTAGAAATGGTTACCTCGACCCATGGTCAGGAGGTGGATGGTCCCTAAAGCCTAGAACAGAAGGTTCACTAGTTTCAATAATTTTGAAGGAAGGAGCACATCACTATGACCTTCGCGGAGCACATCCAGACGACACGGAAGAGGTTTCGTTGTTATCTGTTAAGGAGATAAAGAAGTAAATCAATCAATTTTTTAGGTGAAAGAGGTTCGCCGAGTGGAAAAATTGCACATAAAAAAGTGGATTCAAAAGGCGAAACGAAACTGAAGAGGACACATATTTGTGCAGCATAAAATATTCCACATTTAGTTTACGCACTGTCGATATTTTCCTCAGCGATTTATTTACGGGTCGAGTTTGCTCGCCATCGCAGCCTCCCCGCATGGATTACACTAGCATATTGCTGCAAAAGGTGGAGGACTGTATGTCGCCGAAATGGTGCGACCTCCGCGGTCATCTGCAACAAATACGCACTCTTTCACATGCATGAAGGCGCTTGCAGGAAGTTTGCGCGGGACTCTCCTATATTCGGCGACATAGGTAGTACATCCTTCACCCAGGGGTAGCGAAACGACCGCCACGACCGCCGAGAGCCACTACCTCCTTCGATTACTAGTCCTTTCGCGCTATCACACGCTGACTGAGTACCAGCGATCCGCAGAAACGACGCCTAAGGGATTCGAAGAATTCGTTGCTACACCTCTATGAAACAGGAGACTGTCAAAAGGCACGATCTCTCAGGAGGTCGGCAACACGAATTCTGTATAATGCTACAGTATTCTTCAAAATTACAAACACAGACCTTTGTCTCAGCAGAGTCTAGCAGCTCGTACAATTCCTTTAGGCCGAGAAATTCAATTCCAAACTATATTATTGTACACGGGATGATTGGGATCAACATCAAACTCTTTCAGTACCTACTCTCCGAGGTATTTTGGAAAGATACGGTATATAACAAAGACGCGGTTGATTTCCGGGCTGCAATTATGTTCATGAACTGCCGCTCAGCCAAACGCTAAGGAATCCGTCATACTTCGCCGAGAAAAGCCCAAAAGCGCCGAGAAAGCTTAAAAAAGCCCAAAAAGCCGGAAAAAGCCCGCAAGAGCCGGAACGCAGAAACGAACTTCTGGTAGAATTTGACATTATTTTGATGTGCAGACGACAGAAAATGAAGCAAAAAGACTTGGTTGCGAAATCAACACACATGCTAACGCCAGAACGTGCGAGAGGTGTCCGGCTTTTTTAGGCTTTATTGCGCTTTTTCGGGCGCTTTTGGGCTTTTTTCGGCGAAGTACGACGGGTCCTTCAGTTGAGGCCTCCCAAGCAGTATCCAAAGTGATGTTTCTGACCAGATTTGCTTGAACGCTGGGAGTCACACGTCTGCGTACTGCCTTGATCGGTGGACATCAGCGACACAAATCTCATTTTCATATTTATTTGTACTGTTTTAATTATGACAACCTTTCAAGCATGATGTGATACCACGTGTTATTACAATACCATCAAGAGATCTAAAAGTACATCTTCTTTCTCAAGTTGACTAGCTTATATGTTACATGAGCAACAGTAATGGAACAGTCAAGGCAGCTTACAGTACATTCAAATGGATGCAGTCTATGCGAGCGATCAACGATGGAAATCGTTCAATGTGGTCTTCCTCAGTGCTTCTCCTTGTAAAGTTTGTGAAGAGCAGTTTTTTATCTGCAAACGAATTCATTAAACACAGAGAAGCGTACCATTTTCGAAAATTACTTTGATTCCAAGGAAAAGTTGTTAACTGACCCGCACAACAACGTAGTCTCCTGGTTCATACGTAGCAGTATTTTCGAAAATCACTTTGATACCATTATCCGCCCGCCCTTGAAGTGCAGTCAGTGACCGTTTTGATGTCTGGAACATCACGACGGTGAATACTGCTCTGACAATAAGACTAGAAATCCAACTGACTACACTTACTCCTTCAACGAGGACTAATTGTTCAGTCCCTAGCAATGACTGGTGAATTGCCAGCGACTCTTGCCGGAATGCTGACGCCAACTCCTCATGTCGCCGCCTTTTTACGTCCTCCGGCACATCATCAACCAAGCGGTAATGAGCACGTGTTTTCTGCAAAAGAAATTTTACGAGCTTTCTCGGGATTACTCCACACTTCACGACACATGCCGGCTGTATTCTAACGAACCTCTCTCATACTGTACGGGAACACATAACAGAATGAATATTTGACAGTGTGAATCAAATCAAGGGTCCTTCGGTGAGCTTCCTCGGTTTCACCACAGAAACCAGCGATAAAGTCTGATGTGAGGCTCACATCTAAACATCTAAATTTGCATAAATTATCATAGGTGCTAGAGAAAGTTACCTGGAACGATTTTTCTGATGTCGTCCACCAGTCGGAGGTATAGCTCGCGAGTATAACCTCTCCCCATTCTTTGCAGCGTTTCGTCATCTCCGCTCTGTGCAGGCAAGTGTAACTGGTTACATATATTCGGACGTTCCTTGATAAGCTGTATCACCTGAACAGACATCGATAAAGCACTATCAAATGAGACGTTATCGATAGCGGTAATGAGAAGGTAAAGTCCTCACCTCTACAGGGAAATCTTTTGGATGTGGGGATGTAAATCGAACTCGCATTTCCGGGTCGATTTCGGAGATCTTATCCAACAAAGTCAAAAATGTATGACCGCCAATTTTTGGTCTAAATCAAAATCTAACAACTCTAAAACACAACAACAGTGTAAGTACTTGTAGACAGTTGAAAAGCCAGGAACTGTGGTTGTTGATGCTCTTCTTTCTACGACATATGTCGACTCAGACATATCGCGGTAACTGTTGACATTCTGCCCAAGCAAAGTCACTTGCCTGACGCCCTGTGCATACAAATATAGATTCGTAGAAGAATATAATATTACAACGACTAGCTTACCTCATCACTAAGCCGTCGCACTTCATCAATGATGGAGTCTATAGGTCGGCTACGTTCCCTGCCTCTCGTCAAAGGAACTACACAATAAGTGCACATATTATCACATCCCCGCATTATTGACCTGAAACACTAAAGGGTGCAAATTATAACAGAAAAAGCCAAAAATGGAGAAAACTAACACATAAGCAGTTTTCGCATTTCTATCAACTCTCACGGGCTTCACATCAGCGTAAGTCTCCTCGACAGACAACTGCACATTTATGGCACTGGATCCCGCTCGAGCCACAGCCAGCAGACGTGGGAGGTCCCTGTAGGCATCAGGACCTTAACTTGGGTTAGGAGAGTTTTTCAACAAAAGATAGGAGTATGGAACCTGCCACCACATCGACTAGGCCCTTCTTCGACAGTAACCCATGACGAACTCTTTCGGCCATGCAACCTTAAATCAATGGCCGTATTCATTAGTATACTATGAGGATAAAATTTACTTTGGAGTGCATACCCGTATTAGTAACGCACAAGTTACGTTCGATCAAAAAATAGACCAAATCATGAGGACCCCACATCAAACAGCCAAAAACCCGTGTTCACAATTGATCTAAATTGTGAAACCCTATGCAACCGCTGACTCAAAATACAAATTACAGGTATATCAAGCCTGCACTAAGCAAGGTTAATTTTACCTTGGGTTTGTGCCTTGGGTCAGTGTACTTGCAAGGTTTACATCTTTGAGATATGGTCGTAAAAACGCGTTATTAGCTTTTGGTTTGACGTAAATCTCAAGGAGTGTTTTAGCTATGAGATCAAGCATACCCTGAGCTTATGAATACAAAGATTCCCTCTTAAATTATATTTTACCTCCAGGTATAGGCCTTGTAAAACTTGCGCGCGATAAAAATATAAAATGAGATGCGCACTCATTATCTTGTGAATAGCCAATATCGCGTCGGGAGACCCCACGTCTTCAGTAGCTGCGCGCCTTGGTGTTCAAAGCGTAGCGCGGGCAATTGGATTTTGCAAGGTCAATATGTCGATAAGTACGACCATGATCATAGAAGCGTCATGTAGCATCCCAAATCAAAGAACTCAAACGTCAAAATAATTAAGAACAAAAGTAGACAACGAATAAGTGCACGATTAACCAAAAAAAAACCTACCGAGTACTCCAACGACGGGCTTCCGCCGTGCCACATGTCTGATCCGCTTTAACTCGCGCCAAACTTTGTCTTCGGCTCCTTCACGAATAGAACAAGTTATAAGAACCACTACATCGGCCTGGATGCAATACCTGACACAATTTCAACATCAACTATAGAACGTTACCTCCAATAATTCTTCGGTTTCTACATAATCAGTCGTTTTTAGAATTGATCGAACAACTTCCATATCGTTTACGTTCATCTGGCAACCATAGGTCACATACTTCACTAAAAATTAGCCAATTAAGTTAAATTGCATATTTATCTATACAGAGGTTTTGCATGTGCAAGAAGGCCGAGTTGTCACCTTTTCGACCAAGTCCAGAAATGTCCTCAGGATCAAGATAGGTTGTCTCTGCTGTTGTTGGTGAGATCTTCGGTAATCGAACCCTCCTGGTTTGACCGATAAAATGATCGAGGCCAAGACCATCTATAATAAGAAGTATAGAGTATACTCAACATGTGACTGCTTTATATCAACCTACCATCAGGGACGGAACGCCTCGTCTGAGTAGCTGATCGTGAGCTTACTGAAGCTTCACAGCTGTAACATCTCAGACGCCGCGAAGCACTGCGTCGAAATAAAGAAAATATATGTCGACTCATCTAAATGCAGCGATTGAAACTTTTAGTAAGTCGATTACTTTGCGTCTAAGACGTGCCGAAGGAAGTGTCTTCGAATCTTATACATAAGGAATCATAACGCCAATTCAAAAAACATCAAGTAGCAGAAAACCGCGGTGCAGTTCGTAAGCGCGCGGATGCAATCTAGCACCCTAGATTGCTGGTTCACTGTTAAAAGGAAAGAATTCAAGGAGATAGAAAAGGGCATAATATCTTCAAGTGCTCAAAATTCGAAGCTAATTGCAGAAACGCAAAAGCGCAGCTGCATTTCTTATCGTTGCAGCTCTCATTCCTAATACGACAGCTGCACCGAACAAATCCTTGGACGCCTTTTCTATAGCGCAGCCGTCATATTCAAGGGTCAAGAAGAAAGATAAATCTGATATATAAAGAATACTCAAGGTACCACCCCGGCTCGTAGGCAATATACGAGGAAAAAGTTCTTAAGATGAAAAAAATCGAAACGGTCGGTAAAGAGGTGAGTTGAACATTTGTATAGGGATGCCGAAAAGCAATAAATGACCTGCAAACAATAACAACCTCTTGTGACTTACTCCAAAGCTGTTATTAGCGTCATACGCCGAATGCGGTTGGACGGAAAAACTACGAATCTGCAAGGGATGACTTCGCAATATCCTATTTTAGCTCTTCTTTGTCTCTCAGCACCAACGTTTATATTTCTAAGTAGGTGAATGTATGGAGTATTGCTAGTAGGAAATTTTTCACAGATAAACTTTATTTGATTTATATAGGAATTTTCGCATCGTCTTGAGATTTGGAAGCATTTGAGTTTGTTAGCGAATATTTTGGAGAATTTAACCTTTTTCCATGATTTTTATAGCGTTTGTATGAGTTTAAATACTTATTTCAGACTTCATTAAAGACATGAAAATTTTTCCACTCACTTACTACCTTAGAATGGGCTAAGGAACACATTCTCAAAAAAAAATCGCCATCAAAAATGTGCAAAAAGGTCAAAAATGGACTTAGTCCCAGCTCACCTTGCTGCTGGGAGTAAAATGGGCTTTATGGGCCATGATTCTTTCGCAAGCGAGAGTTCAAGTAGGGTTGAATCATTTTCACCACACCGCTTTGCCTCGTGGTTGCGATGAGATGAAAATTTTTGGATAACGCTAGCGAAAGCGGATTCGGACCAATTCCTACCGCGAACGAATAAAATGGGGTTTGGAAGCCCATTTTCTTCCATTATGGACTTTCGTGGATATCACTCCTGGAGCAAGAGAAATAGGACACCCTCTCACCGCTTACAGCATGACATGATTGCACAAAGATGCAATGCCAATGCACACTGGATGAAACGGAAAGCGGCGGTTTGTGTTGCATAATTCATTTCAAGGCGATCGTGCCAAAGATGAATGTGAGCATATGGACGATATAATTCGGGTCGATTCGGACGATTAAGCTTACTGTGGCTTACACTCAATTAGATGCCAAGTTAATTGTATATCTGTCACCAAGATCTGTTAAAGAAGCCTTACTTGGAAAGATTTCGAAGAACATTCTGATTTCTATGGTTTTGATGGAGTACAATCTTGCTTGCGAGATACAAGAACCTCAGTCTTGGCCCTTAGTACTCTGTATCTCCCATTCACCTTAAGTTGAAAGCTCCTAAACCTTTTTACGCGAAATCCTCTAATATACAAAAGATGGAAACGCTGAATTACAGTAGTTTGGTGTTAAAGGGCGATCGTTCCGGGAGCCTGGATACCGTAACCCCTTTCAACATCCATCCTTAGGAAATTGGAAAAGTGGGCGACTACTATGGTACACGGTGCTAGAAGCGATGTGGTCTCAATGGTCTAGTGGCTAAGGGGTGCGACTCTCAGCTGCCAGACTCACAGATCCTATTCTATAGAAAGAATCTGTGTCTCAAAGTTCAAAGGTAATTCCTCTTTAAGGCCATATTCGCCCTCAAAATGAATGAAATTCAAAAATCTAAGAGCTTTTCTTGTTCTTTTTATTGGTACCATTCTCTTCACCCCATCTTTAGTGGTTGGTGAGTTATGAGCGCTTAAAGTTAGCGTATCGGTTGAAAACACTGCTGCTTTTTGAGTGATGTTTTTCGTGGTTCTGATGACACACATGTGAAGTTTTGGCAGCTTTTAGTATTTACAAAACGCTGAAAGCCTGTATAGATGCTTCCAGTCATTTGATGTCATAAGTCACTGTGGAAGTAATCAAAGTACATTCTGAAATTCTCCCAAAGGGCTGCTGCAAAGCGACGACTATCAGGGAAATAAGTATTATGGAGTAAAATGCCAGAAGCACGTATAGTGAATGAATTGTATTACTCTAACATCACAAGCAAAGAGTTTTGTTTCCTTCTTTTGCTTAGGCTAAATAGATGTGGCCGGCTCACGACAAATATAATCTATGTTCATCTCAAGTGCGCTATGATACTAATCGCAGTTTCATCAAGCAGCGTAGATGACAAAGAAAAGAAAACATGGTAGGAAATCTATTATATGAAAAATGAGTAAGGTGAAAAGAATAACGAGCGAATTGACAAATTATCGTACCTTGTAACAAGGATACTCTGTACCCCACTAAGGCCAAAGTCTAACATTCACTTCTTTTTTGAACTTAAGCAATCACACAACTATTCATAAACTGCCATCAACTGAGTGAGAGAAACCATGAAGAATGGGCCAGATCAAGCGCGCCTCAACAGTAGATAACCTTCACTCTCTCTCTCTCTCACTTGCATCTTCGAAACCAAAACGTTACTATGCTTTGTAATGTGAATGCTCATGATGGAATGTAAAGCCTAATCCTTGATAATAGCGGTCGTTTTGCGAAGCGGAACAGAAGTTTGAGCGCCTTTCGTGACTGAGTTTATGCCCGCGCACAACTCGCTTTCATGGGCAGCCGCTTGCGTTTAAGACTAGCTAATAACACTCTGTAAGTCCAGTACGGACACTGTTGCGAATTCACTCTGGAAATCACCGTAATTGATCTCTTGTTGATGAAAATGTCTGAAACTTCGGTGTATAGTGCGCATGCTAGCCGACATATCAAAACTGTTTCCGGTCACTTGAACTTTGAGCGGAGAATAAAAAATTGCGAAACCGCGTAGCTTTATGATGTTACCAATCTACCGGCTTTTTCGAAGTATTATCGCGTTTTTTAACTCCCAGATCTTTTCGTACAGTTATGCACAAAAGCATGACACATTTGCTAAACCTAGGATCTTTCGTCCTGTTCACAGGAAGGCGATCAATGTGTATTTGCTTTTGAAATATCAAAAGCCAACCTGCTTTCTCAAACCTGTGAGATTTTGCTCTTTCTTTTTTGCTTAGATTAAAAGCGCCACAGAAGCGCGCTATGAAGATCCCCGACTTGTGCATCCACGAGATGAGCGCGAATTGCGCGTAAAAGCGATCGCCGCCGCATTTTTCATTTGTGACTTATCGGCTGCAGCATAACATGCTTCGAATTAAGATAGAGAGAACTTCCAGAAAAAAAGGAGACTTGGGCTTTGGCGTAAAAATTTTGGAAAACGAGATGTTTACTTGGACTGGATTTGCTTGCGGGGAAGTTCGAACGGTGCTATCTCTGTGTCCGCGGCCCAAAATTTCAAGGTCGCGAATTTGGCTGAAATTCGGTCGAGAAATCACAAATATTACGTTCTATCATAAAAACGCCATTTGGTGGGGCAACGGTGGGTATACGTAGAAGAGTTGATCGGCTGAAATTTGGTCTAGGGGGTTTTCTGAGGGCTAACCACGATTACTATATTCTTTCTGCATTCTGCAGCGGGCTTAGTCTTCAAAAATCCTTCTAACAAACGTACGCCGGGCCCTGCTTAGGGTTTTGGCACGGAAAAGTTAAGCGGAACGCTGTGAGCATACTGAGTGGAAGTACATTGAAGGGAAGAGAAAGATACTGTGACTTTTTTGAGTAAGCTTTTGCGAAAAGGGTGTTTTGAAACGGGACAGCTCCTTGAATAACGAAGAAAGAGTGGACAACTTCACTGTGGAGTTTTAGAGGTAAAAACTTGGTGCATTTTGGCTAAGAAAATGGGAAAAACTGATATTTTAAGGCAAGGGTGATGAGGGAATTAGGCTGTTCTAATGGGAAACGATCTTTTCGCACGGGCGGTCTCCAGTGCTATCCTGATTTTTACTTGTCTTAACACATCACGCACGCCGCAAATCTTTCTTCCCCCTGTTTTGCTTAGGCAAAAGCCGCCGCAGGGTGTTCCGCGCGCGACTTTGGTGTGTGGAAAGGAGTAGGACGCGAATCGCGTTCTCACCCCCCTCTAATGATTTGACGGAAAAAGCCGCTAACGCTTTGAGAAAATTCTAAACCGAAAGGAACATACAATACATCAGCTAAGAAAAGCCACAGAAAGGAGAGCTACGGGAAGGATGCTGTACGAGAAGAAGGAACATTACTCGTTTCTCTAATGCGAGGGTGAGTCTAGAGAAAAAGCGCGAGGTGTAAGGTGTGCATTTCTATTTTGGAGAATGAGCTTCACTCAACGCGACATCTTTCTTGACTCCAAACGTTCTTCTGCAAGCTGTCGTACTTTCGTCATTAGAACTACATGCGCACCATGCCTTCTCAGCGGATTTCAAGCAAACATCGCTAGACGAGTTTATTAGCTTTCACAGCATTGTCTAATACGAGGCTATGGTGACTCAATACAACATTTCTCACACCTGCTCGCCATTGGGCCGCTAGTAAAGAAGAAGCGCTGGAGATAATGGACATTTGAGTTACCGCCTAATGCGGATCCTAGATTGAAGGGAAGAGATCAGACAGCGAGAGCCGTGCAAAAGAGCGTGAAATTTCGAGAGACGCAGCCATGGCAGTTTTGCAGACCACGCAGGGATCGATCTGCGTCGACGCGTTGTCCACTCGCAGGTTCGGCCCAGCCAGGGAGAGCTCGCTTTTGCATGGTTTTTCTTCTTGTTTTCTTTCTTCCGGCTCATTTCTCAAATGTATAAACAGTGAACTTACTTTGATTGAACAGTGTAGTACAACATCAAGTGGGAATTTCTCTTTTTTCGGTTTAGGTTGGAAGTTTTGCCTTAGATTGGCCATTTGGTGGTCCATGAAGCAGGAATATGGATCCCTTGAGCTTTCTTTTCTAGGGGAGAAAGATATGCACATTTGATTAGCTGGATGTCAGTGCGGGCTCCTGTAGTTTCCAACTTCCTGTCAAGGCAGGCGCCAGACTTATCCACTTACCTGCTTTATCCACTTTAGTCGCTTCACTATTGCGCCATATCAGTTTTTGAGCATTAGCGAAGTGATGAAGCTGCTAAGGCTGCTTTCATACTGATCCCGAAGTCAGCAAACATTCTAGCACAGCGCTTAGTTCGAGCACTGTGCTAGAATTGTTCCCGACTTCGGGGTCACTATGAACGCACCCTAAGCGGACAAGTCTGGCACCAGCCTCAAGAACAACCCGAGTTTAGTTACAAAGTATATTAGATAATAGTTACTGTGACCAGAAATGTTTATAGCTCAATCGAAATACTATCTTACAACAAAATGCTGGAAGGTTGTAATAGGTTTCAAAGCTTGGGATAGGGGGTATTACAGGACCTTTCATGAGTGCAGAAAATGCCTGAACTAAAAAGACGTAGCTTTTGCTAAGCATAGAATCTTTTCTAGCAGTGAAGTGGACAGAGACTGGCGGCTTGTTTCGCAGGTGACGATTTTTGAGTGCGGGAGGGTATTGAAAAGTGCTTTGGGATGAAGGTTAAACCAATTCAAAAGCGTTGTCGAGTACTTATAAAGCTGCGCATCTCGGCGGCGACCAGAGATAAAGATACAACGCACGCTTTGCGCTTACGGACAAAGCTGGTAAATTCGATAGGCTGATGATCTAAAACACTTCGTAACACTAGTGAGATTAAGCGCTTAGCACATACGTTGCTTAGTCTTGGCCCTTAAATCCATGAGAAGACACGGTAGGTGAGTGCCGATATCCACTTGTTTGCTACCCCTCCCCCCCCCCCCTCGCGCATCTGCACTACGCAACTGGACTGGACCGGATATTGCTAGTTGCGGGTAGATGAATGAAATCGACAATGGGCCCACGACATGCTTGATCAACTTCGCTAAGGTCATGTTAGTGATTCAACTAGTAACCAGAGCATCAAGTGGTCATCCACGTTGTTATGGGTAACATTGATTCGATATCAAAGGATAGGTAGGTGCCAGAGTAAGCGAACATTTTGTTCAAGTTGGGGTCCTGCGCAGAACGGACGTCACTCACCATAGGTAGGTGCCAGAGTACGCGAACATTTTGTTCAAGTTGGGGTCCCGCGCAGAACTGGCATCACTAATCATTGTGGCATACTGCCAACTTGGCGTTGTGCCACAATGATTAGTAACGCCAGTTCTGCGCGGGACCCCAACTTGAACAAAATATTCGCTTACTCTGGCACCTACCATACTGGCGTCAATCCAAGTGACGTCAATTCTGCGCGGGACCCCAACCTGAACAAAATATTCGCTTACTCTTTACCATAAGTGTTGCGTTTGTTGAGTGGTGGGGATGTCGACGTGTTTTGAATGATTTGGTTTTTTGCACATAATATGAATACGCGTGGCTATTCAATTATTCCGGTACATAGCTATATTGGAGTTTCGCTGTTGTTTAGCGTTTCCATGTTTCCAATTTTTGAAAGATTGTGTATCTAAAGATATTGTTTAGGCAAGAAGAATGTCACGCCACAATAGCGATCGCAGCAACTCAAAACCTCAACGCGATGAGCGACGTCATGATGATCGGCGCAGGAGTGGTCGCGATGATGACGACAAGTACGTCAAAAGTTTTGCATTAGAGTACATCATAGTCGAGGATTGATTCTCAGTGATTGACTTATTCTAGAGTTTCAGCATTGAAAATCATGAATCTAGTATCTCTTGATTACCTCAAACATTGAATCAGCGAGCTTGCCAGTCTTGCCATTTATCTAATCTAAACTCATTAGTAATTTCGAACATGCATATCGTCATTATCATTCTCAGTGCTGCGAGGCTCATATGGATTGCTGCTGTTTTGTGGGAAACGAACCCGCGACTGCCTAAGGCACTAGCTAGTGCTTTCATCAGTTGCAAAGTTCTCGGAGCTGCAGTGCAATATGAAAAAAATCTTCATTTTTTTGGTGGGCATTGTGATTTGGGAGACGGTCAAGAGGCGCGATTTCTCTAGCTGTCACTAGCTTAAAACTCCCGCATAGTGCTGTGCTATGCCAGTGTTCAAAAAGTACCAGATAAAGTGCATTAGCTTGCTCTCTGTCTGAGGTTACCGCTTGCCGAGTTTGGTGGCTTTTGCTAGAAAACGGAACGAAATATTTACGAATTTGTTCTTAGCCGCATTTTTAAGGGTTTTTGACTTTCAAAAGTGATATTTTGAATTGATTCCAAAATATTAAGATTAAACAACTTATGCAACTATCTAATTTATCTCCTTTCAAATTTCAAATACCTTTGGAATGTTATAGCACATTTACAATGGCTATTTGGTGTCCATCTGGCAATAAATATCGCGCCTCTTGACATACGCCCGCTTACAACCTGCTGAGAAACAGTGATGCGTATAGATAAAATTGTACCTTCTATTAGACGATACATCAAATCACAAGGGTGTCACTGTTTTTCAGCAGGTTGTAAGCATGTGTCTGCATAGGTTGAAAACCCGCAAACTGGTTGAACGCGCAGTGTCTTCAACGCCAACTTGTGCGAGTAGTTGTCGCGACGGACTAGAGGTACACGTTGTTTAAATTCATTGACTCCTTTCTTGTAACTATTTCTGAGTCAGGGCCCGGCACCGATGGTTTGGGGTCAAACTGGACTTCGTTTTTGGAGTTAGAAGCAACGGGGACATCGTTTTTATGAGGTCCTAGAGGAAGCGCCAAAAAAAAACACGACGAACATGTCAGGTTTTACGAGTTGAACGAGTTCTTTCGCAAGCGCGCGAATTTCAAATGCAAGACTCAAACAAACAAACGGCTTGTTTACAGCGCACAAACAATCACATGGCCTCGAATTTGGGCTATGAGTATACAATATTACTTTAAACTATGTTATGTAAAAAATTCCCAAAACTTATGTGTCTGAATACCCGTTCCGGATTTGTTGGTTTCTAGACCAACCACCGAACCAACTGGGTTGGTTCGGAGCATAAATTTCGGAGAGTTCACATAAGTTTTGGACCTTTTTGATTTGGACGATTAAAACGCTCAAAAATCTATTATATAGGAAGAGAGCGAATCAAACCATTGCCTCTCCTCTCTTCTTTTGAGCCAAAAGTAGTGCAGTTCTGCGCGTTGATAGATATCGCGCTCCAATCACATGCGGTGCCCTTTGAACTATGTGGCGAAAAATGCATCGCCGGGTTGTTGAGGCCACAGATTTGGTTGGCCTAGGAGGTTTTCGATTTCCGAGCACAAATGGTGCTATACCCAATGGCAGAGCCTTTGATCTACTCGAAATGTATTCTTTTTGCTTTTTTGTTATACTATATAACTCAAAATGCGCTTTTTTTTCGCTTTTTTATTGTTATTTTGGTTGTATAAGGATTTATTTCCCTATTGATTTTTACGTCGAGAGGGACTTCGTAAATTTCCGAAAAGTCATGGGGGACTTCGTTTCCAAAAAAGCTCCAAACCAACGCGTGCCGGGCCCTGTTCTGAGTGCGTTTCGGGTAAAAGGAACTCCAAAATTTGTTAGGGAGAAACGCTCAGAGGAGGGTAGCGCACACTGTTCTCTGCGACAAACTTGTAGCGTTTGGGGAATCAACTCCTTCAACCTATTGACGCCTCTATTAGGTTTTACACATTGAACACGCCTATGTAAATTCTGCTACCGCTATTTATATGCTGTCAACTTCAGCCACGACTAAAAGAGAGCCGTAAAACGCGTTTCAATTATCTAAGACAATGGAATAATGGACAATGGAATAATTAGTAGTTTTGACTTAATTTATCTTATTTTATTCAGTATGCTCTTGGCGTCCTTTACAAAAGGACCAAAAAACAGGTACTTGTATAGTAACTACAGGAGTAAGTAATCATGTAGTGGTCTGACCTTTGGGACTAAATTAGTGAATGAAATTCATCTTCTGTGTGACTGCTAAATGACTACATTTTCAGTCTTGAAGATGTGATCACGGAGATGGAATGAATCAGATGAAGTCTAGTGGATAAATCACATGTTATTTGACAACTACTAATCGTTGTCATATTATCATGTGCTGTTTCTGCTTTTTTTCTTTGTTTTTATTTGCGCCGCATGGCTGAAAAGAAGGCAGTAAGATACGCAATCTGCATGAGTAATTGTGGTCACCTAGGGTTCCTTCATACTGCGCCGTAGCACTCGCCACGCCGCGTCCTGGGCATAGTATGAAGGAACCCTTACGCGCAGAAAATGGCCGTGCAGTATAGCTCACTCGCATTCAACTTGTGGACCTCTTAGTCGTTTTTTGAGCACAATTCTTATTGAGAACAAGTGTAGTATCAATATCGAGTATCATTCAAATCTGTTTGACTATAGCTCAAGCCGGTGTGTTCACCTTGATATTTATATCTCCGCATTTCATTCGCTCAGCTGCGTGTACAAGCCAGTACTGTCGAAATCAGTACAAAGTTGGATCTTGGAAAAGTTCTGAATGTAGTATCAGTAGCAGTGCTTTGTATTCAGCGCTCATGCTCTGTTCGTCTCGAATCCTTGTGGTTTTTGCAAACTTTTCATAACCATCGGTTGCCCTGCTTCAGTTTCGAAACTTTGTTTGGATGTGATGGATCACAGGATAAGTAAGGTCACAATTTTCAGCATCGACCAAGTCTCCACATCCTCGTCAGTGAACTATTCCTTTAGCGGGGATCATCACTGAAGGCAGTGTCTGGGCAAACAGTCGATTTTGAGATTTTGTGCTTATACCCGGCCTATTCGCTATGTTAAATCTGAAAACCAGCATTGGAGAGCGCGAAAACGACAAAAAAGTGCTCTAAGCATGAGGGAAATCAGAAGTGGGCGGAGTCTTTTCCACGGTGAATTCACGCTCCCAGCTTGCTGAGCGATCTTCTCAATGCCGCTAGCCGCCCTGACATCGCCACCGGCCAAATGCGAACGTGTGTCGGAACCGGCAAGATTACTCCGGAAGCTGGGAGCATGAATACACGGTAGAGAAGACTCCTCCCACCTGATGATTTCTATCACCCTTAGAGACCCCTTTCGCTTTTTTGTGCGATCTAGTGTAGATTTTCAGATTGCTTAGCCAATAAGCCTCGGTAAGCAAACTCGAAATCGATTTTTTGCCCGGACACTGCCTTTAAAGGCAGTGTCCAGGCAAATCTGGACTCTTTAGTTTTTTGCGTGGAAACTGATGGGGAGCCACTGACTAAACCACTGCCCGAGTTGCAGCGCACGGGATTCACTCATGCCAGAGAAATCGGCGTCCGAATCGGTCGTCCCCGCGCCGTGACCGTAATACTTCAACAGTCTAAACGCACATCACGGTCCCGGCGCGAAACCATGAGGACAGGGTGTAGCGCGTAAACTCGTTGGGAGGGTACGAAATAGCACGGAAAATGAAGATATCTCAAATGCAATCAACGAAAACACCATGAACAACGCGGAAAAGGCAGCCGAGAGAAGCCGCCGCAATAAACATGGAAAACAAGGACAATTCACGAAAAGCAGAAGAATTAGGAAATTTGCAGTATTTGTGCAACGAGTTTGCGCGCTACATCCTGTCCTCATGGTTTCGCGCCGGGACCGTGATGTGCGTTTACGCTGTTGAAGTGGTACGGTCACGGCGCGGGGGCGACGGGCTCGGAGGCCGATTTCTTTGCCGTGAGTGAGTCCCGTGCGCTGCAATTCGGGCAGTGGTTTAGTCAGTGGTCCCCCATCAGTTTCCATGCAAAAACCAAAGGGTCCAGATTTGCCTGGACACTGCCTTTAAGTTGATTGTACGCCTCACTTCAATGATTCACAACGAGAAATATATCGTTTATAAAGAGCGCAAATATTTGAAAGTTATACTGTCGCTGTTGCCGTGACTCAAGGAAGGCAGTGGTGTAGTCTACGAGAACTCCTGTTGTAGTACTTTCACATTACCGAAGGAGCAGTTGTAGTGATCATTTTAAGCATTATCGAGGCTACCTATGAAGGAAAAGAAGTTCCCTTATTTCAGTGTACCAAAGGAACAAGAGTTTCGTTAAAGGCAGTGGCTCGGGAAAATTGCAACTGCGCGCTTTTTTTCCTTGGCTTTCAGGATGCGTTTAGACCAGAGCTATGCTTGAAAGTCAAAAAAGTGCTTTTTATGGCCTGTTCCGGCCTTGGAGATTGCTGAGGAGGCTGGAGCTGAGTGGTTGCAGGAGACTGTAATACCGCTCATTTTGGCGGCAATTGGCTGATTGACACAGGGCGCCAATCGCGACTCGGCTGCGGTAATCCCCGCTTCAGCCTCCTCAGGCTGCGTTCATACTGATTACGAAATCTGGGAACAGTTCCAGCACAGTGCTCGAACTGAGCGTTGTGCTGGGAGTGTTCCCGGATTTCGTAATCAGTATGAACGCAGCCTCAGCAATCTCCAAAACCGGAGAACGCCATAAAAAGCACTTTTTTGAATTTTCAAGCACAGTTCTGGGCTACACGCATCCAGAAGGCCAAGGAGGAGCAGTGCGCAGCTGCAATTTTACCGAGGCACTGTCTTTGAGGAATCTTTGTGAGTAAAGAAAAACAAGTTCGAATGTGTCAAATATTATGTGCATAGCGGCTGGAGTGTTTTACTCAGTAGACAAAGTGGTCGTACATGATCTGAAGGAAACTAGAAAGCGATCACGCCTTGGCATGTTCATGTGGCAGCTTTAATCTATAAAAAGTTTGAGTTTTTTTTTTCAAAGATCAATTTAGCTTTTTTTCAGTTTCAATTATCATCTCTCTAAAAAAAGGTGGATATTAGGGTATGAAAAAGAAGAGCCTTGCCTCTTAAATCTTATTCTCTGGAAAAAATCTGCTAAAATCGCTCATCTCGGTCGGACAAACGCGTTACTGAGCGTACTTAGAATTTCAATGAGTAATCAGGATCCAATTACTTTTTTCTCTTTTATCACTAGTAATGGTTGAGCATTTGCTTCGGAAGAGATGAGATTTCTTTTGCTGTTTTGGTGTGTACGAAATGAATACGTGACCGTCTTCATTAGCTCACACAATTTTGTTCTGGTTTGCATAGCTGTTGCATTCAAAAAAAAAAACAATCTGAAGGAAACTTATGCAAAAAGAGTATTCTTCTTTCAAAATCTGCTAGGATCAGATAATTTCAGCAATCGTAATCGTCGTGATCATCATCGCTCAAACAATGGTGGAAGTCCGAGCATGCATCGCAACATGTCGATGGGCATGGGCGGTGGACAGCGTGGTGCGGGCAGCTTCTCGGGCATGGCATTTACCGAGTCTGAACTGATGGGTGATCTGCCCAAAAAGAAGTTCACTGGTCGTTGTCGGCTTTTTGTCGGCAATCTACCTAACGAGGTGAAAGAGGCTGAGCTCAAGGAGTTGTTCTCACCACACGGCGACATCGCTGAATGCTACCTGAGCGGCAAAGGATTCGCATTTCTAAGAATGGTGATTGCGCGATCATTTCGTTTCACTTGCAGTTTGCTGCGCACAGTGTCCGGTTCATCATTTAAGTAGAGCGATAAAATTCCTTCCTTCCATACCACGGGCATCTGTTGACAACCACGATACATCCTGCATCGAGATATTGTTTCCCACTCATAGCAGCTCAATGGGACTACATAATGACTTGTAGAACTGCTAGCGAATTGTACGAGTATGTGAGGACCGTGTATTGAATGTTATACTCGTTGGACTACAGATTATCAAAATATCATGTAGGGATTCTGTCAGAGACTCCACCTCTCAGCTTGGACTACGTACGTAAGATTCACGTCATATCATCATTATGGACTACTGGGGACTACTACTAATTCGCTCTAGATTTTGGTGCCTTCTTCTCTTGAGGGATTTGAACCGGCACTGTGCGCGCAATATTTTCTCTTTTACTCATTTCATGTGTTATGCTTATACGAAAAGTTTTTTCGTAGGATACTCGTGCTCACGCAGAAAGTGCTAAGGAGGCGATTGATGGCCGTGTCATCCACGGGCGTCAAGTCCGCGTGCGCTTTGCTGTGCACGGCGCAGCTTTACGCGTCAAAGAGCTTTCGCCAACCGTCTCAAACGAAATGCTGTTCCATGCGTTTTCACATTTTGGTGACGTAGAGCGTGCCGTGCACATAGTCGACGAGAAGGGTCGTCCCACTGGTGAAGGAATTGTCGAATTTGAACGCAAACCATCATGCAACGAAGCTATGACAGCGATTAAGGAAAAGGTCTTCTTGTTGACCGCGTAAGTTTGTGAACTCTATTTATCAAAGTGCTGGCATGTTGGCATGGAGCATCCTTTTTTGTCCAAAAGTAACGGCTAAAGCCATCGTATTGGAAGGCTATGTATTTCAAAGTGAAAAGGCTCAGCTGGTAGATGGTTACCTCTTCGGCGTTACATTCTATAGGCTTTACTAACCTTTCGGATAACGATGTATCGACAGCCACATGTAACACATTGTGGTTCTTTCGGTTGAATTTTCGTATTTCACTAGCATCTTGTTCTTTCTTACCATTACCCTTCGTGTGTCTTTTCACTCAGCCATCGACTGATGAACCGTGAATGCTTGTGCGCTATAGGAAGAGGCACTGCTGAAGCAGTATTTTGGACAAGTTAATCAGATAAATTATCTGCTGTCGAAAATTATTAGCCTTCTACCAGCTGACCACCGCAATATCTTTTGCCACTAACTTTTGCAACTGAGAAGGGATCTCCTAAAACGTCGCTTGCCTTTTACACATTGTATGAACTTGCGGAGGTCTACACCGGATCATATTAGGAGCCCTAAACCTCTCGTCGTCGAGCTCCTCGAGCCGAGAGATGAAGACGATGGACTTGCGGAAAGAATGATTCCTAGAACCTCTCAGCTTATTAAGTAAGTTCTGATCAGGATTTTGTACTACCCCAACATGAACGAAATTCATCGAAGTAAAAAATTTTACGTGGACAACATCGTTCAATTAACACTCGAAAACCTCTTGAATAATAGCACATGCGCCAAACGATGTTAAAGGAAATTTTGAATGGATCTCCCAACTTCCAAAAAAATTGCGTCCAAACGTTATAAAAAAGCTGATTGAGTGTTGTAAAAAAGGTTATGAAAAGATGACTGAGTGTTTATGTTAATCCCGTTTTTTGATACTTTCTGATAGAGTATATGTCAAGAGGCTCCACTGGATTTTGTTGGATTCTACCCTTTCTTCCTAAGGTAGGTGCCAGAGTAAGCGAATATTTTGTCCAAGTTGGGGTCCCGCGCAGAACTGGCGTTACTAATCATTGTGGCACAAGCATTATGCCACAATGATTAGTGATGCCAGTTCTACGCGGGACCCCAACTTGAACAAAATATTCGCTTACTCTGGCACCTACCTAAGCAGCTCAAAAGGTAGATGTAGTAGATGCTGAGGGTTTGGTCAAGGAATTTTCTTGCATGGACTCGAGGACTTCCTATTCTGTCAGCTCAGCTTCTTCCCTTACTGGCATTGATAATCATCTATCTGGAATCTTTGTTAGTGCTCTGACCTTGTTGATTCTGCGAGCTAACAAGAATCAAAGTATTAGGGACTCCGACTACATAATGTGCAAAACTCAAGACTGCTTTCCCAGAAAGAAAAACGTAGGGACTCAGTATTACTGGTTTGTCTGTTAGTCATTCGTTTATGGACAATATCTAGAAAAGAATGAAAAACAAGAGGAAGAGTTATACGGTGACGTGTGGAACCCGAAGCGACTTCTTGTGTGAATTAGGGGCTATGGTCGGCTTGGCTAATTCAGCCGAAATTGACTGGATTTGCTTCGTCCAAGTTGGGTATTAGACTAGTATGTGTCACTCCAGTTTCTCAGCGAGCAGTCAGACTAATCTATTGTACGTTATGCCCTCATTGCTTGTTTGGGTACATGTGAGGACGATTAGAACAATGACTTTAGAGTCAGATTATTACCTCTTTCCGAAATCCGAGTTCTGATCATCATGATTGATTCGATACAAATAAAAACTTCCTTCGTAAAAGAATGCTTCTTCCCATATGTGATTTACAACTAACTCTTTTGCTCTTTTAGTTTTAGAATGGATGATACTTGCGTCCGGTGTTTCCTTATCGCGATAGAGTTTGAAAATCCTCGAACATTTTATCAAGGGACTTTTTATTACAAGCTACTATTTGTGGTTAGAGTGCGAGGCTCCAAATAGTGATCGATTCTTTTCATTCACTCAATGTTCTGAAGATCTGTTCGAAATGGGCTGCTTGCCCGCCAGTTTTTCAAATCGTGTGTTGCTCTGAAAACTATAGCTTAGTGAGATGAAACTCGAGATCTGTGATCAAGAGTAACGTCTGAATAAAGCAACTCTACGAGTGTTGGTTGAACGATGTCTAAACGATGTAGCGATGAAATGCTAGCATCCCTTTTTTTTATAAAACAACAGAAGTTCTGTTGGGGATTTATCTTTAACGGATTCGCACCTGCACATTATACTTGAACATCATAGTGGACTACTTGAGTTCTCGTGTGTTGAGATGTGCAGGTGTTAGGTAGAGTGGACATATAATGGACTGATATAGGGAGCGTGAGCTTGGCCCTCGTTTTCCATCTCAAAACACTTTCGAGTTTGTATACGGTATGAAGTGGAAGGAGTTATACGCAATGGAGAAACAGCGTAGAGCTCAGCTGGAAGAGGAATTGAAGGATGCACGTCGTCGCCTCGAATCTGACATGGAGTTAGCGTATCAGGACTATCAAGCGCAAATGCTTCGTGAGGGTCAGTCAATTTTTTTCCATTGTTTGCAGATTCAAGCATTTCTTTCATGTACTAATGTAATGTATTGCAAATTTTATTTCTAAGAAAAAATCTCTGATAAAAATCGCAAAGTCACTTGCGCCAAAAGTTCCTACGCATGAGTCTTGCAGCAGATCATTGCATACGGTCCACATGCTGTACCGTCCTAGCAAGCTAAATTAATTGTCTGCGGCTCCTTTTTCATCCATTTTTTTTTTCGTGAATTTATCCCAGAGCTCATCAATTGTAGGACAAGTCATTTTCTAGCACCCAAATTATTTTAACTTATTGAGTCCACTCGTCTTTTTTGTAGGGGAAGTGCTTGCCATGAAAGCTTTTTGGTACCCATTTGTGTCATGTGTGATTCAAAACTGATTTCGATTTTGTTACGGGAAATTTTGACGGCGAAACCGATTTTTACGCCTGCTTAGGGAGAGTGCTGCGCACTTCGTTAGCGAATTGGACAGTGCGGTTTTATCATATTCTTCTTGTGTACTTGAAAATAATACTTACCTTGGTTTTCTATCACTTGGTGTCCCTATCTCTTCTGAAAAGCTAGGAGAGTATCAGTGCGCATCGCGATCCATGATACTGAAGCACACTGTGCTCATCTTTCTCACTGTCTCACCCATCTGAAATGCAATACTATGTGCTGTCTTTGATAGTTAGTGCACCAGCAGTTGCTGCGTTACCGTCTCAATGTTTACGATATTATCTGTCTTATTATCTGTCTTATGTTTTAGATCTACAACGTCGGCAGCAGGAGCTTGAGCGGCTAGAGGCCGCTCGTCGTGAGCGAATGAATATGAGGGCTGCGGCTGGTGGGCCAGGAGGACCACCTGGCGGTCCAAATATGGGCATGGGTGCCCCAATGCAGTTTGGTCAACCGGGTGAGTCAAGGATTTTTGTGTATACTTTTATGTATGTCAAAGTTGATGCGGCTTAGGACCATTTGGACAACCGATGTCAGGAGGACCTATGGGAGGTCCTATGGGAGGACCTCCAATGGGTGGTCCACCTGTCGGAGGTCAGTACCAACCACAGCCGTATCAGCAAGGAGCGCCTGGTCAGATGCAATCTCATGGTGGACCAGGAGGTCCTATCGGTACAGGCACTCCTGGTGGTCCTGGCCCTCAGAATGGACCTGGAGGTATATCCTTTTGAAGTTCTTCATCTCGGTATCTCGATTGCATTTTTTCAGCGCAAGGAGGGCAAAGACCAGCTACAAATAACATGCTGGAAGGAGTCCAGCGTCTCTTGCAAATTTTCAAGAATGAACCTGGACAACAACGTGAGTGATTCAATCCTTTTCAATTATCGTTTTCGATATCCACACCTCTAGGTCCTTCATCTGGCGGTCCCAATTCATTCGGAGGTGGACCTGGTCCTATGGGTTACGTTGGAGGACCCGGAGACTACCCACCAGAAAAGAGGATGCGCCGCTGATAGATCGGCTGTTTTTGTACCATTGTTGATCTGTTCATTCGAGTAGTATGGCTACGGCTTGTTTTTCTTTTCCTTTATATCAACCTGATGTTGTTTTACGTCTGCAGTCTCTCCATCCCTCATATTTGATTGTGTATTCACAACTCTAAGACAAATCTGGGATGCATTGCATCAAAACTTTTATCTAATTTTTGATTTCGTCAAATTGTGTATTTTATACAGCACTAACTAATTATCTAAGATAAAGAAAATGTAAGTCTTTATGGTTGCGGCACGCGGTGGACTCTGCCTTATCTATTCTGCGAGTCTTCTATCCCGATATATCATGTACTAGCTGGCTTACCCGGCTCCGCCGTATGTTCCGAATAGAAAATTCCATTTCTTAACCGATCCGGACCAAACTTGGCACACATACACTTCGGGCCCCGGCGGGTGTCACAGTCCACTTTTCGTTATCAATCGATATCGATCGATGACGAAAAGTAGCGTATGACACCCGCCGGGGCGCGAAGTGTATGTGTGCTAAGTTTGGTCCCGATCGGTTCAGAAATGGAATTTTCTATTCGGAACATATGTACACACACACAGACAGACATTCAGCTTTATACAGAGTGTCCCAAAAGGATGTGCACACTGTTTGATCGTTAATAACTCTCTTGCTTTCATCCCTTTGACCAAGATTAAGGTACCATTCTGTGGAGCGAGGATAGACTTAGATTTACAGTATGGGGCGAATCAATCACTCTTCGTTACTGTAGGATCACGGTATGAACTTTCAGCATACAGCGTCACTGTAGAATTGGTTTTTTGATGAAATAATCTCAAAAAAATCTGAAATTTTGTGTAGCAAGGTGTTTGCAGGCGTGCTGATTTTACTACATAACTTTTTACCAGTTTTTCGAGCTTACTTGATGGCTTATTCACATTGACGAACATTGGAAAATCAGTTGTTACCCTAAATCTGGAATAACTCATGAAAGAAACATTGTCCTGACATGCAGTTTTTACATTTGAAATCAGTGACTTCGATTAATTATTCAGTTCCAAAGCTTCTGGCTTGTTGGCTTTCATTCTGAGGCAAAATACCAGTTTTAATGGCTCAAAATCTTGGCTTTCATTCTGAGGCAAAATACCAGTTTTAATGGCTCAAAATCCTCCTCGATATTCCTACCGCAATCCTACAGTAATGGAGAGCGGCTGATAATTCGCTCCATACCACAAGTCTAAGTTGAACCTCGCTCTAAAGAATGGTACCTCAAGCTCTGTAAAAGACTAAAAAGCGAGAGAGTTATTAACGATCAAACAGTGTGCACATCTTTTTGGGACACCCTGTATATAAGATTCGCTGAAGCGCTTCTTGTCGCTTTTGCCATCTGGCGAGACTATTCTGGTTTTGGAGATTGTAGTAGGTGGCATGGTCGACTCAGTTAGCTACCTCGGGTTTGACTTTTGTTCGAAGAAATTTTCTTTTTCCATTGGGACAGGCTCAGCCGCCTGTGGTGACTGGCAAGATTGCCCGCTCAATAGTTAAGGTGATGCAAGAGCAGTACATGGGCAGAACCTTAGCCTTTCTCGCGTATTAAAATTTATTCAAGTTCTCCTCCTTGCTATAGATAACTTGCAGCTTGCGAAGTTTGATGCTCAGGGATTAGAACTTGCGGGTTAAGTAAATGTTAGATTGAGGAGGCCGCCAACATGAACAATAGCTTGTGCCATGTGCTTGCATATCGTCGAGTCATTCGTAACTTAATATGCGTAGTGCACACTTTACACCTTAATTGACGGACTGCGAAACTAGAACCTGCTCATTTCCAGTGATTTCTCCTTGTTTCTTTTGTTCAAGTTGGTTTGTTACTCAGTAGAACACATGTTCACATTTTGTTAGGCTAGAAAATGTTTTACTGGGAAGTTACCAGTGTGGGTGCCGTCGCTAATAGGGCTTAGTGTGCAATCCCACATATTAAGTTACAAATGACTCGAGGTTAGGTCGTTTTTCTCATATTTTTGTTTATACTCAGATGATGGGGGAAGAGTGGCGTAGTGTTACGAGGCGCCGTTATGATCAGATCGGACCCAGGTTCGATCCCTGCCCCTGGGTCAACCATGCCCTCTACCCTCCGGGGCCGGTAAATTAGTACCAGAGCGATCCGGGACGATAAAAGCACATACTTGGTAAACGGCTGGCACCCGCAGGTAACTGTATTAGGAGTATTGGGTGTGTGTTAAGATGAACGATAGTTGCAAATAACCTTCAATCTAGTTTGGAACGTACAGCTTCAAAAAATAAGACTTTATGTGCAACATATTGACAACCGCAAGAGTACAGTATGCTTACTGCCAGCTATCGTTCATCTTGGCATACACCCGTATTAGGTTCTCACGCACACAGTTGCTTCCTCGACTATGAAGTAGTGTGCGTTCGACGCATGCCCGCAGAGGGTATTGAAGACGCCGAATCCTATCCTTTATCCTAATTATACTATGATGATGCAGGAAAATTTGAAAAAAAGGCTGGATCTCAGTGGGATCCGATTTTGACCACTTTCGATCCAGAAAGAACGTATTTCTTTGGAGGGACGATCAAGCACGCGCATGTTGACAACGGGACCACAGTGTGCTTATCTGCAGCTATCGTTCATCTTGACAACCCATCATATAATCATGTATATAAAGTCAGCAATGACTGCAATGCTCTTATTGTTAGCATGTCATATGGCTACACACCTACATCGTCAAAGGAACGTGTTTCTTGTACAAGTTTTCCATAGATTTGTTACACTGTGCTTGTTGAACTCACCAAATGTTATGCGTATGTAGTGAAATCTTCACTTGACCGGCGACGATAAAAGCATAAGACATAAACTCATTATTACAACACGCAATAATTATTCACACAAAACAGGTGGTATCAATAATAGGCGCTATGCTATCCTAGTTGACAAAACTCAAAACAAAAAAGCGTTGAAACTTGGCCAAGCAAAAGTTGATTCGCCGTGTGTTTATCCATCACAGAACATATGTGGCATTCATGAAAAGCTTGCAAAAGCCATAAGCGAAGTTTCAACAGAGTCTACGAACTTGAGTTTTGAAGTCAACTAAAGTAGAATAGTACCCGGTAGAATATCTCTCGTATCATCCAGACTTGAAAAGGAGAATGGCTACTTGACCCAAGTAGAAGTAGATAAAGTGCTTTGTTTCATGCGTCACGTATCTAAAAATCATGTTTACACTTTCGATACTACGCACAGAAAATTTGACTCACGATCCAAAGTTCCTTCCAACAATGCAATGCCATGTAGGGTTGTACTTTTTGTCGAATTCCTTTTTGATATAAGCAGCAATATCTTTCTCAATGTTGTACCTAAATTGAAAAATGCAACACATTCAGTGGAAACGTTAATTCTTCATAATGACAAGTTTTCGGTAGTTAAGACGATCGCACAAGTCCAAGCAACGGCAGTTCTTCAGCCCCATTGCTTCGTCTTTGCAGTCACGCAGACATTCAGACATAGAAACATGCAGAGCGTCCGCGCGAACACACCACTAGACGCAATCGAATATGGTCGCGGTTTATTTGTGCATGTAAATTCTCTACACTTTAAGTTTATAATTTCTTCTTTTCTGATTGGGATGGTAAACAGAATTTGACGCCTTAATGCATAGAGCTAAAAGTGCTAGACGCTGTAATATTAATCGAGGGATCGCGCTTTCCTAGCACACTGAATGAAATGCGACCGCTGTCCACATATATTACAACATGCAAGATGTGTGATGCTCTAGCTATAGAAATCTCAGCAGACTAGCCCACCCCTTCCCCCTCCCCCGGAACACTTTCACAGTTGGACAGCTGATTCAAAATAGGCAGTACAAAAACTAATACTCACTTCTCAAGGGCTTGTGTTGCGCAGTCAATAGCATCCTGCTGCATGTCTTCGGTCATGTCCGCATTCTTGATGACAGCTTTGCGATCGACCATCTTCTGCAAATAACTACCAATGGAAGCGAAAAAAGGCAAAGTTGAGGAACGCATTGTGTAGCGATAACAGATTGATTACGAGACCAATGAGCAAAGAAAAGAGCATACAAAGGCTTGGTTAACGAACACTTTGATTTGGAGTCATTACTAAATTAGAAATAACGAAGTAGGACCAGTATAAAATCTTGATTGAAACCTGATGCCAGTCGATTTCTATGCTTTAAACAATTAAGAAAATCGCAAACTGATCGACTGATTTTTGCATTTTATTGGAGAAATGTGTTTTTATCTGCTAAAAATCGGCGGTTCAGTACGAAACCAAAAAAATGCAGTCAATCAAAAGACAACGCAATTAAATGAAATGGATATCCTATGGTCAACTCTCCATAAGCTGAAAAGAATTATCATAGTAACTTCTCAGCGTTAATAGATTATGCTTGCTTTCACAGTTACGGTATTGAAATGAAATTCTCAGAATACGCTGTAATGGTCTCTGAAGCTTGTCCAACAATTTTCTTCTCTATTCTTCATAACACCAAAGCAATACACAAAGAATCACGAAGAACTGATTGATTCGACATTTATTCTGCTACATAAACAAGCGAAATACATTCGAAGAAACGATAGCCAGAAATTCCGGAAAGTGCAAATTGAAGATGAATTGCGCAAAAGAAGCACGATTTGACTAGTGGAGACAAAACATCCTTCAACATATCAAGAAAAAAGCTGTCTGCACCTTGATGTATAGTGCGAATTCAAATGTTATCGCAAATGTGCATGAGATGTCAAGGACGGACAGCGATGAGTTTTCGGCTTAGCAGGCGTATGAGTTTTTTTTCTTTTTGAATCCACTCCGACTGATGATTATAGGGTGGTGTTGAAGCCATCATAGGGCATAATATATTGGAAGGATGGACACGATGACACTTTAGAGGCTTGTTCTTAAATAAGCAAACTAGAACTTGCAAAAGTTCTGCCAGATAGTTCTTGCTTCTGTCCTCAAAGTCGACCAAGTAATTGACACGGTGAACACTAACAAAGAAAGAAGCCTCTTCACCTAGATGTTGAAACCCATTTGTTTGTGTATTATAAACCAGCGGTTAAAAAACAAAGCCTTCATTTAATGGAAACTGCGCCCTTCTACGTATGTAGTGTGTTCTCCGATGTTTAACATCATTCCAACTACCATATGTCAAACTGATTCAAAACGAAACGTATAATCCTAAACCTGAGATTCATTGCTCCTATAACCAAAAATTTACTGGAAAAACGAACCCTTATGTTGTTTGCAGCTACTAGATCATCAGAAATCACTATACCCTTGAATGACCAACTCAAAATTGCCTTCGATTCCCTAAGAGAATTCTATTCATGAACGAGCTAGGTTCTCACTTGCAAAGCAAAGGTAGGCATTCGCCACCTGAGAGGTTTTTAACGTTGTAGATGAGTTCCGACAAAGGTGATATGGTTATAGAACACATAGTGCTGCAGAATACTGTCCACGAAAGAAATCCTATAAAATTTAAAACCCTACAAAGTACAATAACAAGGGGAACGTGGCATAATGGAAGGCATGTGGAGTGGCCACGGCGGCGACGTCGATCCCGCCCATACAGCCGCGTCACACAGCCGCGTCACGCAGCTACAGCCGCGTCACATAGCCGCGTCACTACGTAAGGGGTTCGTCGGGCGCTTTGCTTACACAGGATCGGCGGACACAGTGAAGGAGGAACAGCTCGTCCCCGACTTGAGAGCTTTTGTGCAGGCAGCTCTTGAGCGGGTTATCCCGGGTACTTGACAGCTGCTACAAGTGCTACTACTCGCCCAAGAACGCTAACAATCTGAACGAGTCGGTGTTTTGTAGCAAAAGAGCCCTCTGGTGGTTGTGTTGTTCACCACGAACTCGCCCCAAGTGCAACTGGATCCAAACTTTCCAATGGAATCTTAAAAACTCAAAGAAATATATAGGAGATCCTCAAAAACTCAACTAGCTTTCACCGGGATGCTCGATGCCCCAGAACGGGGTAATCATGAATTTTAGAGGATGCTAGATTCCTGAAGTATTTGTTGGACAAAGTGCACAAAGTCTTTTAACTTTACGCCTTGGGTCTAGAGTTTCGTGTCCCGTATCCCATCCGCATATTTGTTTTGCTGAGGTTGAGAACTAGCTGGTCTCATGTGTTGTCCGGAGTTCCTCTTCTTTTCTGCTGCACATTGAGATATATTTTCAATGTTTGACGCTTTTCCTATATAGTAGCAACTGGGCACAGGAGAAGGCTTTCAGAATCAAGGACTGAAATTCTTCTTGTCAGATGTTTTCTTGTTTTCCAGCAAGCTCGAACATGTTCAATCTCTAAATTCCCAAGTAACAATAACCAAAACGCGTTGGGACACATGTATTAACTGTCAACTAAACCAGACATACGCAAGGCATTTTCAAGTGATTTCGACTCTGGATGGATGACTGTACTTCATTATAGAAAACGAAGCACAATCCATAATGTTGAGATGTAGATGTGATTTTCGCCAAATCACTAACTAGGCTGTCCGTCGTAAAATTCATACGTTTTTTACTCCGAGCAGCAAGAAAAAACTCATAGGTTTGATATTTAATCTATTCTAAATTTAGGAGGTTGAGATCGCTCTGCATGTGATTAACAAGTTACGTTGACAACCGAACCATTTTGGACCACCTCAAAATGGGAACATCTAAATCTGGGGTTTAATCTCGTGAACAGCTGCAACGATGTCCTGTGTTCTATATGACAATCAGGTCACCAGTATTGTTACTTTTCTTTACACTTGAAAGCCTGATGCACGAAAGTGTTAGACGGGCGGGGAGTGCATACGCGCGTATGCACACGGTCGTCAAAGTGTTAACACTCGTCTTTATCCGCCGAAAATTTACTGCATGTTATGGAAAGAACAGGTTAAAAATCGTTATGAACACAAGTGCAAAGCGTTCGCGATTCTCTTAGTCTCAAAATGGATGATGGATGAAGTCGCAGATTCTTTGTTATTCCATTCATTTTTCACCTTTAGGTGGCTTTCAGCTGTTCTGTAGAATTCGCTTATTTTTTACAAGTCGTAGCTTAAAGACATCTACAAGATGTTCCACCTCCACTATTTTGTTTGAACTTCCGGATGTCACCCTATATTTGACCGGTAAACAATAGGTTGCAAAGCAAAAGTAGGACTAGTATGTCGCTGTTGAGTAAGAGCGTCAGGTTTCCGTAAGGGCTTCCACATTCGTATTTACCTTGACTCTCTGCTTGTGCTTATGTTACAGGCAGCGTCTAAGCAAAAAGCTGATTTTGGGAATTTGTACATACCCGTCCTACTCGCTGTACTGAATCCGAAAATCAACACTGGAGAGTGCGAAAGCGACGAAAAAGTGCTCTAACGTAGGAGGGAAATCGGCAGGTGGGCGAGTTCTTCCCCGCTGCGGTCGCGCTCCCAGCTCCTGGAGCCATCTTCTCGGTTCCGATTTCAAATCATGCATTCGCACTTGGTCGGTAGCCATCAGAACGGCTAACCGAATTGGGAAGATCGCTCTCCAGAAGGTGAGAGCATGATTCACAAAGGGAAAGATCCCGCCCACCAGCTGTTTCCTTCCTGCGTTAGAGCCCTTTTTCGCCGTTTTCGAGCTCTCCAACGTGGGTTTCCGGGTTTAGCATAACGAGTAAGCGGGTAAGCAAAAAATCTCAAAAGACTTCTTGCCCGGACACTGCCTCTAGGCATAGAAGATATGATAGAGCAGACCAGAGCAGAGAATCGGACTCCTGCATGCTTGCTAGAGAGACAAAAATTCAATTTATGCAAAACGAACCTTCTCCATAGTGCCCGGCATTCCGAAAATCTCGTGCGACGACCCAGTTGCAGTTGATGATGATGGTCGAATGCTGCTAACTCCATTCGGAATTTCGAAATCGATCTGATGCAGAGGGCTCGTATACTCTCTGCCATTGTTGTTCAAAAACAAATGTGTTTTGCTTTTTGAACTATTTCTGCAGGTGGGAGTTCGAAGTTGTTTAGTATTTTGACTTACAGGGTGGGGCAAAAGTCTGGGAGCCTAGTACTTTTTCGGATAAAATCAGAAGGAAAGTGCCTAGGAACAAAAAGTTCGGTGCACACATAAAACGAACCCTTACAAATACAGCGCTGCTCTCAAAATTTGAGATTGCCTCTTCTGGCTCCAAAGCAGCCCTTCGAAATCTTGGCGAGTCCGCCTGTCGTGGCACGCAGACGGTTGTGATGAAATTCGTCCTGCGCCTTTACGATAACTGTTTCTTTCACCAGGCAAATGTGCCGTGTGAAAGAGCAAGCTTTTGGCTACAATGTACTATGAAGGATTTTTTTTGCAATGTTTAGGAGAAAAATTTGGAATTTTAATTGAAGGCAAATGAACTCGTATAATGGAAATCTGGATGCGATTGAGCGAACGGGAGCGAAAAATCATGACCTGAAAAGTATTGAAATTGCTTGATCAATCGAACTCAAGCACATGCTTGCATAGAAGACTCATGGAAAGGATATGGCCCAGAATTCAGTGCCTGCTGTGCTCCTATAGCTTCTAAATTCATTTTGAAGAAAAATGGCCACTGGCACGCAAATAGTGTTCACAAATTTTTATTTTGCGTTTTCGAAAGAATAGTATCTTACAAACGCAACGACTACGATCTAATAGCGCAAAGCCTCCTCTACACTGTGTGCGTCGAACTGCTCTAGAACATCCACTGTATCTTTAGCTATGAAGTAAGATGTGAAGACCAAAAATTTCGATTTTCTCGCATTGCAGAGCAGTTGTTTGATAAATCCAAACCCTACAAAAAATATGGCAAGCATTTTCAGCCAGCTAAAGTGTGATTTGTAGAGAATGATTGCAGCACTATGTGACACAAATTTGGAGTCAAAATCATCAGTAGCTTCTTGATTTACAGCACTGCAAAGTAGGCTCCCAGACTTTTGCCCCACCCTGTACTACTTTCAAGGCCATTTCTTTGTTAGTGTCTAGATGACGATGTATTGACTTGTTTTTGCTCTTCGTGTCATGATTTTGAATTTTTTCTATTTTTACTTCAACGGAATTGTGCAGTCGTGCGTTTCCACTAACCAGATCAAGATAAATTATTAAGATAAAGATTTAATGATTTGAGATGAATGGATGATTCAATATGATCCGACTGCATTATAAATGCATGATTTTGATGGGTAGAAAATGACACATGGAATTTAATGTTACATGATTTTTTTGGATTTTTTTATTATTTTATTATTATTTTTATTTGCCCTAGAGTGTAACCATCTAAGAACTTTACAAGCGGTAGAAGCGAGGGACCTCGACTTCAGCCCTAGCCATGTACATTGGTAATATGATCTCGCAATATTATTTTTCCTAATGTGATATTTTAGTATGATAAAGTAATTATCTCCATGATCGGAACATCACGTAATTGTAGGCGTAATTTTTAACACCATGAATTGCTTTGATTCTGATAATAATTATTCATGGTTTATTGACTCTTTCATTCATCTGCTTATCAGTGGCAGTCCGTGGGAAGGGGAGGGGGCGGCAGAATTTTATCGAAAACCGGGTTAGCCAAGTCATCCGAAAAATTGAACTTAGGGTGATTTCCATATTTCTAATAAAACCAAGATTTCTATAGATTTCCAAAAATTATTTCCACTACTTGAACCGCGTTATACGTTAGTGAATAGTCTTAACTTCCACTAGAATCTGATGTCGGATGGGAAAACAAGAAAAAATGTAAAAAATACCACCCGACAATCCATGTTTCTTCCTCGTTAGCGTCTGGACAAAGAGTACTGTGGCTGAACACCCAAGAGAAAATGCTTGAGTGGATTATGAACATATTAATTTTTTCGTCGTTTTGAGACGTATTATCACCATTATTAGCTATTGTTTCTTTATCATCCTATAATTATTTTCAAGAAAACCCTAGGAGAAAATCGAAGACAGCTCATCACCGTAGTTTTAAGTGTCCTCAATCCCAAAAGACACAACTTCAAACATTTTGGAATTCCATGGCTATTATGAAGCGCTAATGGTGTTTTCCGAACCCAATCGATCAAGTGTCATTAGCGTGTGGGTTTTCTGACTTTGAAATCTGTTTATTTGTGCAAGGTGCAAAATATAGTTCTCATATTACAGGTTATTAAAACTTAAAAAATGGCACCGTTCTTTGTCGTTGAAAATTTTTTTCACATCATGACGCTCTTATCGTAGGACTAGCTTGAAGATACATCTGTATCCCGACAACATACGTTCGTTACACAGGATATCTTAAAAAATGTACCAAACGTCTAGCTTTAGCTTAGATTTAGAGATTAAAAAGTAATAACCCATCGCTCTTCATTATGTTGGGTAATGGAAACTTTCAGTACAGTGTAGTCACTGCAAATCGCTGCCATTTTAGGGAGAATTTCAATCTTGAAGTTATCTGATTGGTTTTGATTTTCCTGATTTTTTTAGACTCGCTGATTCTAGTTGAATAGTAATTGTTTGTAGAGCAGCGAGGAATATCACATCCGAAGAAGCGCTGTTACGGTATACCTTTCGTAACTTGAGATGCAGATTACGGTAGATCGAAAGTCTCAAGATGATATCTATCAGTAACGCCAGTTGTCCTGATAAGAAAGTATACATTATTGGCGCAAATTTTTTGCAAAATACTCACCGTAAACCTACAATGAGGAGTAGAACGAAGATTTGCTTTTATTGTAAGTCCAGCTTTTGAGCCAGGCCCTACAGTATGGGTACATAGAGCTTGCAAAGGCTGTTTGGACAGAAGAGTTGTTAGGAATCATACGTTCGATTTATTTTTAGAACATCCCTGTGATGCGCATAGCAGCGGTTCCAATAACTGCGCTCAAAAACAAACACAGATCATCAGTTTCTTCTAAGAACTATAACATACTCCGAGAAATGTAACTAGCATTTGGATAATGACGTCAGAGGTCTCAATTTGCGCGATTTTGCATTTTTGCAGAAATTCTTGCTACGGACATGATATGATGTATTTGTCAAACACAGTAATTTTGTTACTTGTGGTTTGAGATGATTTCGCTGATGCAAAAAACGATGACATTAATGTGTATAGACGTGAGAATTTGTTTTCAGTGTCAGACATTCTCGCCATCCTTCCACATCCTCACTACTTCAATCCTCCTCCATTGTTTTTTTTTGTAACCAAAAATTTCGACTGCGGTTGCATAGCAATTGACGCTGTCGTGCCAAAGCTCCCCCGTCGAAAAAATGAGTGTGGTCATTTCCTACTTTTTATTTGCTGCATGACTGCGGATATGTCCTTTAGAGAACGATTAAGCACTTATGTTGTCGTCATATTCTGCCTTTGCTATGGAATCGATTTCGGACAGAAGTTGTCAGACAAATTCTTAGAGAGATAAGTAAAAAATATGTAAAAAATCCATAAACTACTCCTGTATTGAACCGATCTCGCTGCTTTTTTCTCGAGCAGACGCCATAATCTATCAAGTTTATTCCTTACTTTTACTTTTTACATAAAACTCAACCTCTAAAGCGGAAATAGAACAACAGATAAGTTTAGCATCACACCTGACGCTCATTCCTCTTTGTTGCAAGTGTAAACCTGCGTCATGACAGACATGACGCTTGACGATACGTCTGTCGTGCCTGCGCCCAGGTTCGATGGGATCACCGACACGCAACCAGTAATTAAGACGATAATCTCTATCCAACCAAACCAACCTTGAAGTCAGCGCACAATCTAGTGTTGCCCAAAGATTTTTCCTACAGTAGTCAGTATCTATTGAGTTGATGCAAAAGTTCTTGCGCATCCTCTTTGAAAAATTTCAACTTCTTGCTTTCTGAACAGCTTGCACAAACTTGATTTTTGCTAGATAGAGGACCCCCTTTTCTTTGTGGCAATGCCTTTGTTGCTTTTTAATAAGGGGTAGCTTCTAAGATGGAAGCAGAAGAATGAATTACTTCAACTTCAGTCATTTCGAGTTAGCGCTTAAAATCTGTAACTTGCGATAAAATTCCGAGCAAGCAGTATAGTAAGCCTTTTGATCCACGGTTTCCAACAGTGCAGTTTGCGTTGAGTGAGCATTCCGTGAAGAGTTATGATTCTCAAAAAAGCCAAAAAATCAAATCTACTGTTTTGTAGTGCTTACCTAAAAATCATAACTCTTCGCAGAGATGCCTTTTAACACAAACTCTGCACAGATAAAAAGGGTGGATCAAAAGACTTTCTATACTGCTTGCTCGGAATTTTTTTTGCAAGTTTCAGGTTTTCAACAGTTCAATTTAACATGTTCGAAGTTGGAAATATTTTCATATCTCTGTTCCATCTTAAAACCTACACCTTATGAGAGAACAGCTAGGGCACTTTCACAAAGCAAAGAATTTCCTTTGCCTTGCAAAATTAAGTTTGTGCAAATCCGTATAGAGTTCGAGAAGTTATGATTTTTCAAAAATGATGCGCAAAAACTTTTGCATCATCCCATTATTATAACTTGCAAAAACTACGCATAACCTCATATCGAGTTGGCCTAAGTCTTGCTAAAGTGCATCTGCACACATTACAAAGAAACCTGCTCAACTGTACTCTTCAAACTACTGTGAAGGATAACCGCACATAATTCTTCAAAAAAGTCACCAAATTTCGCCGGGGTTCACCATCGTGTCACCATATCTTTATTCAAAGTGAAGATTGAATCCAAGAACCTTTGGATTCAGCGCGGCCAGGTGCATCTTCTGATATACAAGTACCGGTATGGGTACAGTAGGAGTACAGTAGGCGGTTAGACTTTTCGGATCTTAGTTTTTACTCATTGTGCTTATTTATGGCACAATGAGTAACGTAAAAACAAAAATCCAAAATGTCTACTGTATCCAGACGGACACTTTTATATATCAGAAAGTTGCGCCTCGCCGAGCTGAGTCGAACGGTGCGCTTGAAATCAGAATTCGTCCACTGAATCAAGATATGGCGATGCATGCGAGTTCTCGGTAAACTCCGTTTGAGTTCGGTGACATTTTTGACGAGCGGTGTGGTATGTATAGGCTAGTAGATCGGACGCTAAACTTATAAAAGTCTTGCAGTGAGATCCACGCGGCAAGTTTGAGCGTGAATATATGCCTTAGTTTGTCGCTCAGTTTCGGCACCGCAGAGAAGCCTTATATCTACCGTCAAATTTACTATATATATGCAATGTTATGAGCATCGCTTTTGACGCGGCACTAATTTTTGCGCTTGTCTGTACTTTTTTATTTGCGAAATGCACGAGTTGGGATGTTAATTCTGTGTTCAACAACATCTATCGTGGCCAAAGGGAACAAGTGAGCGCCGGCCAATCCGAAAATTGTCTGACTATGAAACTGAGCTTCAGAAGGACTCGGCAGTTAGGATGTTAGAAATTTGCGTTCCTGAGAGGAAGTTGTTTGTTATGCTTTACATTGCCACAAAAAATGCTTGTTTCAGGAGTGCAATGACTTAAGTGAGATTTTCCTATTCGGAAGACAATGGTACATCCACATGTCACACGGAAAGTACGCCAATATTTTTGGCATCTCCTGATAAAGCGTACTTCCTCTCACACGACTATACCTCGACTCTTGAACACAAGCTATCACAAAAAAGCTTCATTATTTTAAATTGAAAGTAACTATTCCACAGCAACCTTTCTTATGTACAAAAAATTATTACAGTCGGATTAGGCACATTATCACGTTTACTACCCATTGCACATCTAGAAAAATCACAAGAAGAGAAGTTCAAAAGGAGAAAGTGTGAAGCCACATCAGTCAGTACATAGAAACAGTATCTCACACAAAAGTCGAAACAGCATCTTGGAAACAGCAAATTTCCTTCACCATTGAAAAACGTTTTCACCAAAGAAAGACACTCCTACCAACTAGAGTTACAGACCCAGCACAAGAGTTTTCTCTGCATAGTGACTTGAGAATTAATCTACACTTGGAAACTAACTGCACTTTTGCTATAATTTACACGTTCGTAGGCAAGTGCACAAGTTTGGTATATGTGTGATGCCTATTCAGAGACTACAACCCTTCAGTAGGGAAGAATAAAACTTGTGAAGAAACTCATCTCGATTCTACTGTAGTTCAATGTCAATTTTCATTTGAGCTTCCGGACTATCTAGAGGCGTTCGAAAAAGTTGAGCATGTTGGAAAGCATTGTTTCCGCTTCCGCCGGAGAAATGAGCCTTCAATGATACTGATGAGAGGGCCCGTAAACACAATTAAAAGTCGACTTACGCTTATTTTCACTGTTCCCGACGGTAAATCGTCTATAACCAGCTCATTGGAGTCTTTACGCATAGAGAAACATACCTGAATAGTGGAATATTATATTATATCATACAGAGTAGAGTGAAGATTGTCTCATAGATTCCTGAAATTCACTTACTTCACCGGCACACACAGTCACAACAAGGGATCCGTTTTCATAAAGAGCCGTGCCGAAAACTTGTAAACGGAATGATTTTACTTTGACGCTGCTAAGATCAATCGACCATGAGATCTAAAAATAAGTTGGTCAATGCTTCAGCAAAATTTGGGAAGCCAACCTCTGCCTCAGTTTCTCCTTCTTTTCGACAAATGTAAGCCATTTTCCAGTCATTCTCCTCTTTACGCTGGATTTGTCCGGAAAAATTGGCATAACTAGACCAGCTTTTGATGTTTTCCCTTCCTCTCGTGTAAAAATCTTTTGCACAGTTGTACTCCAAACTTGAAAACGAGATATAAGCAATCAAACAAAGAAAGCTGATGACTAAGCCAGACCTGAACTTTTTGTTTTTAAGTTCTTCCTGAGATAAACTTATGAGATTGTCCTCTTTTACACAACAACCAAGCTCAGATCGTGCCGCTCGCCAAGCTACATCGCCTATACAAGAAAATTTTGCATCATTACAAAGATTATATAGAAAAACTTAGAAATTTTCTGAGATTTCACATGCTAAAACCAGTTGACCACAATATACTCTTACATACCTGAAGTTCTTCCTCCGTAGTTTTCTCCATCTGTTTTTCGTTTTCCAATAACTAGAAATTCCACTAGCTCTCGAACCCGTCTTCTTCGCAATTCTTTAATTCTATCTTGTGTAGCGCTGCTGCCCATTCGCGAATTCAGCTTCTATATCAGAAAAATAAAAATCCAGTAAGCTGAAGCAACAGCAAGAGAGCTCACCATCAAAAAATTGCTCAGCACTGCCTCGCGCACTTTATTCCGCAATTTTATTGTTTTCTTATGATCTACAGTGTACCTCCATGTGACATCGTATACATGGTCTGTTCCAAACGCTATCACATAGCTCAGCTTCTTACCCCAACCCTGCGAGGTGACGTATATGATAACAAAAGGATTAAGCTGATGATAAAAGCAGTCACCTTCTCATAGAGTAATGGTCTATCGATAATGTTTTCGCAAGGATCGCAATGAACCCAGTTATCGTACTCGGGGATCCATAATTCGATCCACACGTGGTCTGTGATGTCGTAAATGAAGCGAACATCAAAATCCATCGCGGCAGCCATCAGCGCAAAGCAGTTGGCGAATTCGCCACAACGACCTTTTCTCAAATAAAATGGATTTGGCAAAAGCAAATATTCCAAGTTAATTAATCAAACTAATAACACAGTCAAAAAGAGTAAATGAAGATCAAGAAAGCATCATACCTTGTCTCAAGCAACTTGGCAGGATCGTTGTACCTTGGGTAACGGACTTCTTTACCACAAGAACAATTGTAAACTTCAACTCGATTAGCACCGCTTTCACGTTCTTCGATTGTGGGTGTGCCTGTAAGAACGACTCATACCACGCCAATGCATTTAGCCTATGTTGACAAAGTCTAAAAAATGAGCTCACCATTTAAGCCTGACCCTTTCGGAGTCTGACTCCCACAACTTTCACAAGTGGGACTATCACACCAGGAGAAAAAATCGGTTTTAAACCAGTTTAGTAGGCCTGGAAAAGCATATAAACGTGAGTTAATTTGAATATGCCAAAGATGAGCTCAACATATAAAAAATCCAGAAGTCAACATAAGCACCCAACCACAGTGCATGAAACATACAAAACGATCGGAAAATTCTGAGAAAATGAAACTAAATACCTTTCGCCAGTTGCAGCCTATTCAATTGTCCATTATCATCGGTCGCTTGGCGTTTGAGTTCTTCCACCGGAATAACACTAACAGCTAAGGTCTTGTAGATGTCATCCATATAATATCTTACCTGAATTCAAATGATAGAAAAGTTATAATCTAAAGAAACAAGGAGATTTACCCGATCCACATTGGCGATAAATTGTTGCAAAAACCGCTTCTCTTCATCATTGGCAGCATTTGGATTTGCAGGAGTGGAGGAGTAATATCTGAAAAAGACCTTTTGGTTGAGGGTCAAGCCGAAGGTCAATTACTTTTTGACAACATACTTATTTATTGCAGCTTCGAGTGCTTGAGGATTCGCTCCTTGGATCCTTTCCATTTCTTGACCTTTCTTAATCAACACAAAAGTAGGCATGGCACGAATCCCATAGAATGCGCTTATGTCTGGAAATCGAGGCTGTATTTAGAAGCAGAACCCAAACTTTTCTTTAACACGAGCAACTCTTCGTCGCCTTTCTTGAGTATAATCTATATATATATATATATATATATATATAAAACTCAAAAATTGTCAGTTTGGAGGGTATGTGCGTTATAGAAACGCGCGCCACTCAACCGATTCAGCTGAAACTTTGCACACATATGTTTTCGACCCTTGCGCAGATGATAGGCTACTTTTTGCGGCGATTCGTTGCGTCCTTCTATCGATTTATTGATTTGTTTACATTTTCCTAAGGAATTGAAGGGTTATCATGTTCAATCAGGCATTTTCCATACTCATGTAAAGGAGGGCGGTGAAGTTCATTTTCACCTCAGGATCACGAGGATGCGGTTTCCAAGCGGATGTCCCAGGGTAAGTCATCCATACCATATAGGGCGGGGGGAGGGGGGGGATGGCTCGCAGTGCAGTGAACCATGGCCCGGGCTGGACCGGGAAAGCCAACTAGTGCGATATAAAAAAACAAAAACACAAGACATTCCAACAGCTACTAACCTGGAGAATGGTCGACATTGACCTTCAAAAATGTGGCATTGGTGAATCTCGATGAGAAGTTCTCAAAAATTGGAGCTATAAAACGACATGGCCCGCACCAGTCAGCGAAAAAATCCACAACAAACAGACGATTTGCATCAGCCGCATTCAGTTTTGCTTGTAAATCCACTAAGGTTCTCATGTGATGTACCGGCATGACTGCCTGCAAGAATCAACATTGAGTGATTCAGAATGATGACGTTTCATAGCAAAATCCGTATTTGTGATGAAGATAGATAGAAGTCATCTATCTATATTCAAGCTTACTTCCAGTGTCTATTGATAGGAAGAAATGATGTTAAGCACGAAAGCTCAGCAGTGAAGACACAAGACGTGACCGAAACTTTATAGAGCTTTAATGGAAAAGCTAACTCGCTTTAAATGGCGTGCATTTACACCAAGACTGCGATTACGTACCTCCCCCCCCCCCACAGGGTGGAGGAACGAACACCTCAGTGCATTGCCCATTTGAGGCGTTCGCTCCTCTGCCCCCCCCCCCCCCACATCCTCAAGGGATCACCTCTCAATTTCAGTGCCGCTTGTCTTCTTGAAAACTCAATGAAAAAGCTGTAGAATCGTACTGTGGATGTTACGGCATTGATAGAGATGTTTTAGAAGAAATAAGTGAAATCGCAGGATATCGAAATCTTCGGTAATCTCTAACTCGCGGACCAGGAATCATCGAAAATTCACAATCTTCAGCCATTTCTCTTGTCGAAAACATGCTTAGCAGTGCCGTAGTACATCCTTAGTATGATTTTGCAGCGTCTTCATTGACTTCTCAGGGAGATAAACCACTTGGGAAATGAGTAATGATCCCTTGGGGATCACGCAAAATGGCAAAAAAACCAATGTTATATGGCAGTATTCTGGCATCCATTATGCACAAGTGTAAGTGTATGAGAAACTTCATAAGCAAGATAGAGAAAGAAGAAGAAAGATACGTGGAGTAGCGAGATATGACGCGTCCCCTCTCAGATCCCCTCCCCTCCCCTCCTCAGCGGGGATGTACGTGCATAAGGGCCTTAGACATTTCGCAAAATTCCTCTTCGGGTTGAGGCACTACAAAATCCTTTGAAAAGGTGACGAAGAGGAAGAAGGCGGCACCATATTTCTCAAAATTATTCATTTGCAAATGATTGCCCGTACGCGTTCCACTGCCTGGTGAGGCTCCGCATTGATATTGCTCAAGTTTGAGTATTCGCATGCGAAAATAGAACTCGGGGTTTCGGACTGCCAGTCTCCGTGCAATCGCGCAGCATGGTTCTGTCGCCGAACGAGCATCCACGTCTTTTCTGAGGTAGGGCATAGTCGCTACACTGATGCGCATTCACGGACTAATTTGAAAATAGGTACCGTCTGCACCCCAGAGAGGTTCCCATGTGAACCAACGTGCTTGGTGCGACGCTGCCTTTCGCTCTTTTTGACACGTTCCTCCTGAGATTTCAATGGAAGTGCCCGAGGTTAACATGTTCAAAAGTGCGAAAAGCAGGAGATGACGTGATACCTATGGGAACCTCTCTGGGGCGCCAACAATACCTAGTTGCCAGACTTACCCTGTTCAGCAAGTTCATTTGGGTCAACCCCTCTGCTATTGGTCAGTGCATTGATTTGACCTATAGCGAATGAGTGAACCGGACGAACCGATGTCAGTCATACAAGAGCCAACACTACAGGCGCAGTGTTACTTAGGCATCGAGTCCTGCCCATGCGGCAGCCAACCGCAACCCATGGGTTCTTGCGCGAAATTGGTTAGTTGCGCCATGAATCCGTGCGAAATACGATCCGGGGTCCAGCTTCGAGGCGAATATCTCAGCCGTTAGAGCACTACCTAAGCTGCCGGTTAGGCAGTGGCTTGGTTAGGGCCCCATACCAGCCACGTGAAAGCTCCATAGTCCATACGCATTGACCCTGTCTAGCACTGTATGGGCTTGAAATCGCACGCAGTTCCCAAAAACCCCGTTTTCTGGAGGCCCCGCGGAAGCAGTGTGGACGAGTTGTACCTTCCAACTTCAGCCTCAGCCACAGTGGCAGCAACAGAGGGGAGGTGGATGCCAAGTGGAGGGACATGTTCAAACGCGTAAGGGGGGAGACCGAAGGAGTCGTGCGCGTGTACCAACTCGCTCTCCGCGTACCACTTTGAGCGAATCTTTCTCAGCGTGGAGAGGGTCAAATTGAGTGGGACTTGTTGCATTGGCCTACTTAGAGGTCCCTATGGTAGAATATGTGAAGATCCGCGCAACCTCAACTTTGTTGAGACACTGCCTTTAATCCCCACGACAATGGCAATTCCTGTGGTATAAAAGGTTCCCACGACCGTAATGCTTTCCTAATAGGACCACTGCCGCGCGCGATACACCCTTCGGCGGCTTTTGTCTGAGCAAAAACAGGGGGAGGGAGATTTGCCGCGTGCGTTACGCGTTGGGGCAGGTTATCAGGATGGCGCTGGAGACCGCCATGCAAAATGACCGTTTCCCCATTTCGTGAATATCTGGGATCTAAGTTGGCCCGAAAGCGAAAAAAATGTCCATTTAAACCCTGCAACTCACCATAACTTCACTATTGCGTTATGACAGCGAGCAAGCATCATATTCATAAGCGATATACTTGTGAACCGTTACAGGTAAAGGTGGCGCTATTCCACATTAGTTGAGCTAAAAAATGAAAATCGTGAACTTCGCTAAAACTTCGTCTAAGGAGGTTATTTGGTACGCTGAACACGACTATGATGTTTATTTCGTGCGACAGCGCCATCCGGTGGAGTTACGGTAGGAAAACGGTAGGGGGTCAAAATCACTCCAATTTGCGATCTACGGGTCAACTCCCTGGCAAAAATGCGCAATTTCAGAACTGATAATATGATTGTACATAACTCACGTAGATTTAACGTTTCTACTTATTGGTATCTTAGGGTGCGAGTTGTAATGCTACTCAAATAATCGCCGGGGGCAGGCGGTCCGCAAACTCGCGCTTTTCTGCAGGCGGTCAGCAGAATTTTGGGGCGTGGCCAAACCTTCAGCGGGCGGCACTTCCTTTACGGTCGCATATTCTGCCAGCGGGCAGCAATACAGCATTTTTTGCAAGCGCTCGGCAAATAATTTCTCTCAGCGAGCGCTGTCCAAACTTTCAGCAAGCGCTCGGACTCTTTTTAGGCATTTTCGGGCCTACGTCGAGCGGAGGTAAGACTCTGTGTGACAGAGGTGTCACCGTTGGTTTAATTACTCAAGTTTGAGGTACTTTCTCTCAGCAGAAAGTACCTGAGGGTTGCGCGGTCCTCCACAAAGGACCGTGCGGCCCTCGAAATTTTTGCATATTCTCGCGGAAAGTCCGCGAGAATGCGGCTACTGCGCCGCAGCTAATCCATAAAAAACCGCGATTGTTCTTCAAGCATTCGTCTTTAATTTCGCCACCTTTCTTCCAAATTTCTGCAAGCGGGCCGCAAAAAATCAACGAACTATTTTTCCGGTGCGCGCTTGCTCAAAATTCGCATGGCCGCCTGCCCCCGGCGGTTATCTGAGTATGCGTTCCCCAACCCCAGTAAGCTGAGAAGTCCACGAAACAATAGGAAATGGAGCAAGAAAGGAAGATGGTCGTCCTTCCTTTGAAAATGCGTATTTTGCGGCCGTTCGTGTTCTCCTACCGGCTCTCAACACTACAGTTGAGAACCGACTGTTGCAAGAAGAACTTGCTATGATGAGTATTTTCTCAATCGGATCTTCTGAGGAAACAGACTGAAAATCTTCACATCTGCTGTACCACAAATCATTTGATACAACACTATTCATTTTATCAGACGTATGCAACGGATAAATATATTTTCAGATATACATTCTGCATAGAAGCTACAAGAACAATATGCGTAGTGTTCTTCTTTTTCAACACAAGTCATTTAAGGTATCGTGTTTTATATTGACAGAATAATTCACATCAGACATCACTCGTCGATCGTCACACCATCATCCATCAACTAACTGCAAAAGCTGCTTTTTGAAGAAATTCTATTGAAATTACAGTCGAGTGGGTTCAGCGGTAAATATAGTGTGCTTGCACAGAAGGTGAAGTGCGGTGAAATTTGCGCGTGAACAAGTAGCCACGCCAGTACTGCGAGTACCTTGCGCGCGCAATTGGCCGGCGTCACAGTCGAAGCTATTTCTTCACGCGTAAATTTTACCGCATTTCACCTTCTGTGCAAGCACACTATATTTACCGCTAAATCTACTCGACTGTACAGCCCGTACCCCAACCAAAAGTCCATTGTATTTCTCTCACTTATATTGGCTGGGTTGTCAGAGGCAGTTGGAAAAGAGCGTGACACATCTAAAAATTTTGTTGCAGTGCTTTTCCCCTTAAGAACCGCTTTTGACCTTGGGTCGATACGACCCCCCCTCACCTACCCCCCCCCCCTCCTCCTTACGACCCCCCGGTGTGGCGTGCCGCACCCTCTGCTTTACCCTGGTCATCATGGTCAATATCCATGATTTTGACCATTGCAAAGATGGGTGGCCTATACGGCCTAGCTGCCAGCGGCTCATTGGGTTTGGCGTCTACACGAGTCTCGCCATAATGAACCTTATTGTAGCCAGCTTGCCAAAGACGGGCTTTCACTACCAAAGAGTTGGTGAGTATCTGAATTTGATTGTACTTCGCTTTACATATTTCCTCTATCTTTGAGTGGCCTCACTTGGTCTTTTTAGAAATAATTTTTTATTTTTACTGTGATCCATATAAGTGTGAAGCAGTATTGACGCTTGTTGCCGTATTCGAAGCTCCCAACTGTTCTGATTCAGTTGGAGCTAAGCTAAGCTAATAGCTTACCGTTAGCTACAATACCCATTGGCTAAGCTCACTATCATGTTCCCAGAAAATGTCAATAATCTTTAGGTAATTTGCGTTAGGTAGATCGTAGTCGACGACATGTAACGTTACTTTGGGTTGCCTGTGGAGAATTCAAAGTGTTTGCTAATTAAATAAATATTAAGACGACCGTAGACCAGGGTTAGCACAGCTGGCAACGGATCAAGCTGGATATCGTTTTTAGGGCGAAAAGCAAAGGGGATATCGTTTTTTCGGGGTCCGGACGGGAGAGTAGCCGCAAGAATGCCGCCGGCATGACACCAGCATGCTGTCCATCAAACAAACAAAGGCGATGTTTTCAGCCAAAACGCAATAGTATGACATCAAATTTAATGTGTGCATGCGCGTTGGAGAACCCAAACTATGGCCCAAAAACTTATGAAAACTTATGCGAACGAAAGCTGTGCTGATTTGTTCTGAATTAGCTGGCACCGTGCCAGCTGGGTGCCAGCTGAGCCGGCACCGACACTTTGCTCACTTAAGTTTTCATACTTTTTTACATAAAATGTATCTACACTGTATAAGTTTACATACAGAGAAGAAATAATTTTATAATGTTTCCTTTTCAGCGTTTTATAGCCATTTGAGAATTCGTTCTGCTCCGCATTCGAAAAATCGGCTTTTTCTGCTTCTCAAGATGTGATTTAAACACTGAAAAAGCGAAAGCTGTAAAAAAGTTGCTCCATGAAATCAGCATGCATGAAAACCTTTCTATATACTTCTACATAATCTAGAAATAATGACGGATCTACAAAACAGGTCAAAGGGGACTTCGTACGAAATTTTCAAGATCAAACGGGACTTCGTTTTGAAATTTCCTTGGTGCTAGCTCGTGCCGAGCCCTGCCGTAGACTATCCCAACAACTAAACTTTTCAGGCATGCTTCCTGCTCCTTTCTTGACTGCAGCCGTTTGCAAATTCATACTGATTGCTGTTTCTATGTCATTCATATTATATTCGATCTACGTTCATCAGTACACTCATATAGGCCGTCCGCGCAGGGCGCGGGAGTGCGCAAGGTGTGTACTGCGCGTCACTCCTCTTCCCCTGTGCACTCTCGCCGTCTGTTTTTTCTGCGCTTCTTCTATCTTCGATGGACGCAACAGCGCTGCTCTCCGCGCGCAGCGCGGACGGCCTATACCTTGATGGCTTCCTCTGTCGCCAGAGTGGTAAGTTCTCTATATATCGTGATTTGAAGCTAATGCAGTTTGTTTGGAGATGTTCTGGATCATAAATTTATGTTCTTTCATCAAATGGCGTGATTTATCCTACTTTCCTGCATCATTGGCGTTAACATGCTCATTAGCCGTGATTTTTGATTTGATCCGATGTTTGCATGGAATGAGCACTTCACTACAAAGTATAGGCTGCTGCATGACTAAGGGCCGCATGCACTAACCTCCCCGCTGGGGAGGGGATCACAGCTTAAAAGAAAGCTTTATATTTCGAAACTCTAGGTACCTGGATTTCACGTTG